CCCCCGGCCGGATATGACCCGCGACTTGGACCTGGCCCCGGCCCCGGCCCTGCTCCTGCTAAGAACCCTGGACCCAACCGACTCACGAAACAAGGGCCTCCGCCCGGCCAGTATCCGGCTGGCTATGGTCCGAGGGAGTCATCTATGCCGAGCCCCCATGCCCCTGGTCCCCGGATCTCTACTGCTCCTTACGACCATGGCGGGCGGGGTTCAGGCCCTTCATCTCCTACCATGGCTGGTGGCCTAGGGCCTCGCAATAGCTCCATGCCGATGCCTGGAGGATTACCTCAAGGGGGTCCCGGCGGCCAGAGAACGTCAAGCGGCGGCCGAGGAAGCGGTGCACCGTTGAAAGACCGTCCTAGTCAGTTAGACTACGGTCGCTCAAGCGCTCCGCCCCAACAGGCCCAGGCTAGACCGCCGTTATCAAGTCCGCCGCCAACATCTGGTACTCCTACCTCTGCAGCATCCGCGCCAGCGCCCGCCTCCAAACCCACATCTAAGACTAACCAAGGGCCTGCTACTTTTGAGGCGATGGGTATTCCTCAGGGAAAGCAGAACGACGATTGCGTAAGTTTCCGGCTCTTCCTATCTTCTAACCCTTTACCTCGGCCTCACGATTATACTAACTCCATCTCAGGTTGTCATGTAACGGGACAAATATATTGTGTCTGGCATAGATTGGTTGCGGCTTTCTCACTTCTTATCATGATACCACTTTCTGTTGAGATGCCGACGAAATTTCTAACCCCTTTTTATCAAGATGGCGGATTGTGGGGGAGGCGTGGCTGGACTATGCCAAGCTGAGTCAAGCCGCCTGCTAGGTAGATGCAGGATGTCGACGCCTGGTATTTGCATTGTAGATCATGGCGTTTACTTGGAGGCGGACCTATAGATGGATAGGTAGGTAGGTATTTGCGCAGGATGGTCTCTAGTAGGAAATAATTCTTGCTGAAGATGGTTGTATACTGGTTCGTCTGGTGTAAATACGGTACCTAATGATGGATCTCGTGTTGTGGATTTGACAATAGACTCGTTGCCATTATTTATCAGCGAGATGTATCGTGTCGTGGACGATGTGAGAGATGAGATGGAAATAGCCTTGGAAGTGCCCGTGGCTTCATCTGAGAACTTGCTGCTATCGGTACGGATGAGTGCGGATGCAGCTGACGAGGCGGATGAGGAACTACGGTTAGGATATTAGCAGTGAGGAAGTCGCCTGCTAAGTTTCCCAAACTAGGTATTGATTATATTATGGTACCTTTGTCCCAGCAGTCTCGATGTGATTTCTTAAACGTATCGACAAATCTAGTGACATTTTTATCAATACGTTATAATTTCTTATATTCATGTTCATCTATCTTCTTGATTAAAGACTTAACCACCATAACGGATTTACAAAATAGTACGATCAAGTAATAATCCGATACCGGGTATCAGCACAATACCTACTACCCTTCGCTATTTAGGTCAGCACCGAACTGTACGTAGTATGTTGCATATAACCCGGGGACGCTTGAATATAAGTGAACAAGGCAACGAAAGGTAGGATTTGGGAGTGTTAGTACTACAGATGGGCGGTATGCACGAGGCAACGGTTCTTATAGATATATTGGCATTGGGAGTGTCACAAATTTACAGGAGCGGTAGAAGCAAGACTTGGGTTAATATATCCGTCAGACCATGGCCTCATTAAGTACTCTCGTAAAGCCTCTCATGATACACTATATTGCCATGCAGCAAGCAAGTCTACGAAGCAACGACGCCATGCCATAACACCATACCATTGCAAATGCCGCGGACCAATCCTCCAGCGCCGTTCTATCGTGTCAAAACAGCGCCTCGCACATTTCTCTTTCCTCGTCCCTAGCAGCCACCTTAATGCGAGATATACTGGAACACGGCCGAAACCTCCTTCTCCCCACACTCCTGTCGCAGCAGCAAATCCTGTATAGGCTTGAGATCCTTATTGACGAAATGATTCCAGGTACTCGTGTCTCCATACAGCAGCGCTGGTGCCTTGATATACTGCCGTCCATCGGGTTTGCACCTCTTGCACTTGAACGTATCGTGTGTGTCACTTCGTGTATCTGGTCTGTACTGGAACAGTTCTCGTAGACTGTCTAGCGAGAAGTGGCGTTCTACATCTTCGGCCGAGTCGACGACGCACGACGACAATGATTGCTTGTGACTCTGGCGCTGGAAGATCTTCTCCTCGATGGTTCCGGTCGCGATGAACCGGTACACGAAACAGTCTTTCTTTTGCCCGTCACGCCATACACGGGCTAGCGCTTGCTGGTCGGCGGCAGGGTTCCAGTCCGGGTCGAATAGGACGAGGCGGTTGGCACCGATGAGGTTGAGACCGCAACCACCAGCTTTGCTGGATAGCAGGAACACAAACTCGCCGCCGTCCGGGTCGTTGAACTTGTCGACGAGCTTTTGTCGCTTACTGACGTTCATGGTACCATCGAGGCGCAGGTGGCCATATCCGCGGTGTCGGCAGAGTTGAGAGAAGAGATCAAGGGTCTGGGTGTAGTTGCTGATTAGGACGATCTTGTCGTTCGTGTCTTGTCGGATACGCGCCAGCATACGGTCAAGCACTTGCATCTTGCCCGAGTACCACGGTTTGATGTCTCGATCGCGGCCGCGTGCATCTTTTGGCGCGTAGTCCTCGGGCCAGAACTTCTCACATCCTGGTAAGTCTTCTGACAAATTGAGCAGATCTGGATGATTGCAAAGTTTTTTGAGTAGGGTGATGGCCTTGAGGGGCTGACTTCCCTTGCCACGCAAGAGAGCTTGGATATCTGGACTCTTGATGAAGTAGTTATATAAATCTAGCTGGAAGGGAGCAAGATTGCAGAATACGACGTGCTCGTATTTGACGGGAAGATACTTGGATAGAATATCATTCGTTCGTCGGATAATGAATTTGTTGACGATGCCAAGCAACTCGCCTAGACACTCGTCACCTCTCTTACGATCATGTTCGCTTGCATCAGCATCGCGGCCTCGTAGAATAGGAATCTCGAATCTCTTTCGGAATTCCAGTCGATTGCCAAGTAAACCGGGATTTGCGAAACTAATTAGAGAGAAATATTCAGAAAGATCGTTCTGGATAGGTGTACCAGAAAGGATGACTCTTCTCGTGACTTTGAGGTTGTTTAGAGCTGTGAACGTTTGGCTGTCTCCGTTCTTCAATCGATGACCTTCGTCGCACAACATCAGACCGATTTGAGTGTTTTTAAGCTCCTCAACATTCAGCCGAAGCGTCTCGTAGGAAACTATGATTACTGGCCGCGTAACTGCGCGACCGCTTGCAATAGCCCATTGACGAAGCTGTCTAGTTAATTCCTCTTTAGAGGCCTTGCCATCAATAGCGAAAGGAGTGATAGCATCCGCGCCAAGCCACTTGGTAAGCTCGTTTGCCCAATTGCGAACTAAACTAGATGGGCAGGCGACAATAGCCTTCTGTATCGACGTCTTGCCGGCGTCGGGAGATTGCTTTAGGAGAGTCCAGAGAAGCGTGATGCATTGAAGCGTCTTTCCGAGACCCATTTCGTCAGCCATAATGCAGCCATTGGCCTTCTCGTCGATCATGCCGGTAACACATTTATACATAAACTTGACACCCTCGATCTGATGTGGCCGTAGCACTTTGGCGAGTCTAGGGTCGATGACGACTGGCACTCTTGGATGTTCACCGTCTACCTTCTTCTTGATGCCTAGAATCTCGGCTAGACTCTTGTGAACTAAGGGTGCGTCAAGCTTTTCTCGGGTCGCATCCTTGACTTCGTCGCCTTCCGATTTGCTAGTCTCCTTCGGCTTATCGTCGATAGTCGGGTCGTGGAGCACAATAGCAAACTCGCCGCTCGGATCGTGCAAAGGCTTGGCGACAAAAACAGCTCCCTGCCTTAAGCCGAGTGTTGGCGGAGGACGGTTGGGGTTATAGGAACCGTTGTTCTTATTGATCAGAGGTATGCTAAAAGCCTTCCTAAAGACCTTGTCTTTATCCTTAGGCTGGAATACGGGGAAGCGATTGACATCTCGATTTGCTAGAGCTAATCTATCGGCATTTGTGTAAGGCTTATCTTCCGAGTCATCGCCACCAGCACCTTTATAATCGACCTTCCTCTTTTTCCGAACTGGGCGATCGATAGCCGGGGAACTAAGAGCCGCACCGGGACATCTGAATGGTTTAAATAGCTGGTCCTTTGATTGTTGCGAATGGAGGCGTTTCCCAGGGGTGTTGTTCGGCTTTACCAGCGGAGTAGCGGGTGCACTCGCCCTATACAATACAATATTAGTAGTTGATCCATATCAATGGTATTAACTAGAGAGAATGGTTAAATACATTATCTTCTCCTCACACCTAGCAGTTACTCTGCAAGAAAGTGAGATGTATTTTGAGGTATGGCCTAGCGAATTAAATGATGTATAGAATTGGGGTTTGCCACTTGACGGCGACTTATTAGAAATCAATTAATCTTAATCTACCTAAGGTTAGGCATTTTTACATTTTGTTGACTTGAGGCAAGCGCGTCGCGCCTTTGCTGGAACTGGCGGGGAAGTGACACCAAATCACGTGGCTAGTTCGTCTTCCCCACATATTATATTAATTGAATGGAGCTCAATTGAATGCGAATGCCTTCTGTTCTTATGTAACTTGCAATCATCACCTACAAAGTTACTTTTCGCTCTTTTCCTTAGACCAGTTCATCCTATCATTCTATTAATATTTCAAAAGGTTGTCTTATATCCAAGGCTACTTCCCCAAGCCATTTACGAATAATACCCTATTTAAATAGTTTAATAATCAGCTCCACTATGTATTTAGAGCTATCCGTCACCCCGCGTTGACGCTTGATCACTCTAGCATTGTTGGTCGTTCCTCAATAGCGGGGTTTCTATTTGGTATATTCATTTCACTTACTACCTTTGTGCTGATCTCACTTGGTAGGCTTATCAAAATCCGATTCCTTAATGCGCCATTATATTTAGTAGAGATCTGACGTGAACTGTACTTCTCTTCTTTTACTTTTTCGATAAGGACTTTCAACCTCTCAAGTCCCCATGTCACTTTCCGTATATATTAAGTTGTACATAGCTAGGAGGTGACAAGAGTGAGACAATAGGTTATTGTTTCGAGGACTTAAAATTTCAAAATTCCGATCTTTATGAGAAACTAGCCGTGGTCTCATAAGATCAAGTGTTCTGGCTATGTCCGCAGACTTCTGGGCCGGCTATATCAGCGGAGCTGTTGGTATCCTAATCGGAAATCCCCTAGACCTTATTAAGGTGCGGCTGCAAGCGCGCGAAGGCATACCTAATCAAACGGTCATATCATATGTCCGACAGTTCGAAAGCAAGTCGGCTCTAGTAGCCGGGACTGCTGCACCTGTGCTCGGCTATGGCGCTCTAAACGCTCTCCTCTTCGTCTCGTATAACCGCAGCGAAGCCGCTATAAATACTGCCTTGAGCTGCCAGTCAAACCTCTGGACTACGTGGTTCGCTGGTGCCGTTGGTGGCCTAGCAACCTGGGCCGTGAGCACCCCAACTGAGCTGATCAAGTGCCGTGCTCAGTTGTCATCGCCTCCAGCCTCGAGCTGGAGCATCGCGAAGCAGGTATTCAAGACCGAGGGTATTAGGGGGTTATACTTTGGTGGTGTTATCACAGCGCTGAGGGATAGTATTGGGTATGGATTCTATTTCTGGTCCTATGAACTGAGTAGCAAGTGGGCCGAGTCCAACCGACAGAACGCCCCCGACTTCTCACAAGATGCAGCAAAGGTCTTGCTTTGTGGCGGTCTAGCTGGCATTGTCACCTGGGTTAGCATATTTCCTCTTGATGTCATTAAGACCAGGGTTCAAGCACAAGCTTCTGATGCTACGAAAATGCCTCTGCTTAACTCCCCTCTGTCAACCCAAAGGCGCCTAGGAGCGATCGAAATTGCCAGAGCCGCATATAAAGAAGAAGGCATGCGAGTGCTCTTTAGAGGGTTAACCGTATGCAGTGTTAGGGCCTTCATTGTTAACGCGGTTCAATGGGCCGTTTACGAATGGATCATGCTTGAACTTGGCAAGGGAAGGCATAAAAAGCTAGAGCCCATCTAGACCAGTGGACTTGTCTGCTCATGATATGGGGATTAGGTTGAGTCTACGACATTTTGATGTCACGGCCGAAACGAGTATATCAAAGATGGACGAAACTTGGAAGTCAATATAGCAAGTCAACTGTGACTAATTGAATTGCAGGTGACTACCTAATTGCAGGGGAACTTATTGGTCCGTTTGAAATCAACGAGTGAACAATAGTGGCGTCTCCGTCATAAAGATTGTGATGCCATAGTAAAGCTTTGAGCGACAAAGCACTCAACCCAATCCTTACACGCCTAGACTACTAAGTCAAATGTTCTTCATCCCTCCGAATTTGATCAGCCTTTTGTTCCAGACAGCGTCATCTTCATCTTGATCCAGCGCTTAAGGCGTAGGATGGGATGGCGTTGTGGGCAAAACTCCTAGTCCTCCTTCTCACTGAGTCTGGCTTCTAGCATGCTGATGTGTTCTTGTAGAGCAATGTTCTCTCTCTCAAGCTTCACGTTGGCTTGGTTGGAAACGAAGAGGGCCCATTTGCAAGCTGAGATCTCCCGGCAGGTATCACTTCCGAATGATTTCAAATCGTCTCTCATTTCGTTACACATTTTCGCGGTCTCCTCTAAGCCAGTCATAACAACATTCAGTTGACCAAAAACCACACGAAGTTTATCTTATACCTCGATGTATTTCTCCTTGTATGTCTTTTTGACCTTGGCGGGCTTTGCCGGGGGGACCTCGTCATCAGACTGAAATTATTCAGCATACGTAGCTTTTGAGATAGGTAGAGCAAACAATGGAAGGAGGAAGAAAGGAGACAGAAAAACTTACCTCGGATTGTGCAAGTTTGCAAGGACCAGCGGGCGACATCGTGTCGGACATGTTGTCAAAGTCCGGATCTGCTTTCATTAGACTAAGAAGATAACTCTAAGGATCGTGTAGGTTGACTTGCCTTGATCGTCTGGAGGACAGAGGGGCATTTCAGTGGAGAAACTCGAGATCAGAGTGAAGAGATTCTGGCGTCGACAACAATTTGAGGTTGTAGACGGGAAAAAAATGAAGATGGGACGGCATTCACGCAAGAAATTTAACTGTGGATGCCTGCGTGAACGCGTGACTATGAACGCGATACGTCTAAAGGTACCAGCACAATTAATAATTGAGCTGACGCTGGCTGCCTAATAGAAATATAGAAAGTACGGACCGTAGTGCAAGAAGATGAAGACGGTCACCCCGCGACGTGATGCTGCAAGTACTCACATGGAGTTTTGATACCTACCTAGGTACCTATCTACGTATTTATGTATTTATTATGGGATGAATTAGCCAAACATTGTGCAAATCTGACAGCTGGCATATATTTTAGAGAATTACATTTGCAATATGCTACTTGAGAAGGGCTAATGGGTTATATCGTTGCTGGTTCTAGCCAGGGGCATAAATAGCCCATGCATTGTATTTTCTTGAGTTTTTAAAAGAAATATTGACTTGGCTAAGCAGAAGTATGATATTTGAATCGAGTTAATAACTTAGAATATTTAGACAAAGCAAGAAAAGTGATAATTAATATTTAAAGTAGACCACGTTCTTAAACCTTCACAAGTGCTAGTGAGTGGGATATCCAGAGTAGTAAGTGTTTAGTTATACGTAATTACCAGTTGTTCCTATTGCTTGTATTGTGATGACAACCCCTACTCTATCATGATTAACTGGCCTAGCCTTTTATATTATACCTTACATATGGTAATCTTTAATAAGTCGAAATATCCTTACTGGGGCCACCCTAGTGGGGGCCACCTATTTCCCATATAAAATCAACAATTTGGCATATTTATATTTAATTTAAAAGAAAAAGAAAAATATACGGTTTTTGATTTTAAATAGGATATAAATATGCCAAATTGTTGATTTTATATGGGAAATAGGTGGCCCCAGTAAGGGTATTTCGATTTATATGCATCTACCATAACTTGAATTTAAAGCCTCAGTTAGCATATCATTATAACCATTTAGACCTTGGTACCTTAATATGGTTAAGTATATAATATTACGAAAACAGATCCTGCTCAACTACCTGTTGTACGCCATCGGCACGAACAGCGAATGAACCAAGTGGCGGTGGGTTATTTCCCCCGATTCCTGTTTTATTCGTGACACCACGAGCTTGGGGGAAAATATAGATATATAACCCCTCGCAAAGTCCTACTCGGGTATGTTGGGTATCAAGCTATATATAGCTACAACTTTGAGATTCCCGATAGAAACATCTCGCTTCTCAAAAACAGTGGGATACGAGTTCAAGTATCCTTTGCTAGAGATTATTCGACCTACTACGTACCGTTTCTCTGGTTAAGAAGCCATCCTCTTGAGCTGTGTAGGACTGGTAAGAATGGCAGTTGCACGCCTGTCGACTGCAGACATCGTGTCTTCACTACAAAACGCACTTCAGAAATGTAAAGAACTCCACGGCAGCAAATGCGAAGTTACGCCACCAAAGCACATACCAAACTTTTGGATTATCGACACCCAAGAAAACTGCCTCGTGCCGGGCAATTCAGTCGACAAATATGTAGCTCTTAGCTATGTCTGGACGTCTCCACTAGATACCACCAGTAACCAGACACCTGCACAGAGATTGATGCTCCAACGGGACAAGTTAGATGATTTCAGAAAGCCTGGATTTCTATCTTCCGAGTTAGGGGTGGCTGAAAAACTACCCAAAGTTATTCGGGACTCAGTGGACTTCGTGCAACAATCCGGCGTGCGGTAGCTCTGGGTTGATTGTCTCTGTATCCCTCAAAACGACGAGACCACCTGTGACAATGTCCTATCGATGAGGGACATATATTCTGGAGCCCATTTCACGATCATAGCAGCGGCGGAATCATCGGGATTATACGGGTCGGGAGCTGGTATTGACAGAGTTAAAAATATAGATGGCCTCCCTGGTGCGGGTAGCCTTCATGGGGCACTGATGACAACACACTGGGCCACACGCGGATGGACGTTTCAGGAACAAATGCTTTCCACGAGGTCTTTGGTTTTTCTTAATGAAACGGCATTCTGGGATTGTCAGGGTGATGTGTGGTGGTCTGAATCTTTGATCACCAGCCAGGAAGCAGGCGTTAGAAAACTCGGTACGCCAAAGTCGGGCAATATGACTTTGAGATCAAGACTTCGAAGCCAAAAGGACTACACGGAAACAAGGATCTACAACGAAAATAAACAATTATCACAGAATCTTGTAACCTCGTCCATACCCAACTTCAGGCTCTACATGGAGCTGATATGTCGGTACAATCATCGCAATCTCACATACGCCCAGGATGCGCTCCCGGCTATTTCCGGTGTATTTGATGCGTTGACATACGGGTTTTCGGGAGGCTTCATCAGTGGACTACCAGCTATTTTTCTTGACTCCGCTCTTCTTTGGCAGCCTTTCGTCAAGGCGAAGAGGCGAGTTTGTTCTGAGGAGAAACCTGAATCGTCTCCGCCATTACCATCCTGGTCTTGGGCCGGGTGGCAATGTCTGATAGACCCAGCAAGCCTAGAGAGCGGTCTAGATTACGAGATCCGAGGCGAAACTTCTAGGAGGACTAGGAAGCTTGTTGATTGGGTTGGCTCGACCACCGTGGCTGACGAGTGCAAGATACTCGAACCGGGAATACTAGAGCACTATAAAGGGTTGCGGGATAACCCTTCCAATAAAGATTTGCCTAATGGGTGGTCCTACAAAACAGAAGATACAGACTCTGCGGAAGGAGTAAAGCCGTATACACCCACAAACAGACCAAACAGCTGGTACTCCCATGATTCAGACGCTCAGTCTATCTTTCGCTACCCCCTGCCAATGACACATGTCCCATCAACCGTCGGAAGCCAAGGGTATAAACGCTTCCTCTCCTGCACGACATCGACAGCTACATTTAACGTCCGGAGAGTTCTATATCCTCATCAGAGGGCGCAGCAATTGCTTAGTAGCGGTGCCATGCTTCGTATTTCCGTCTTAGACACGCAGCTATACAAGAATGAGCCCGAATTCGAGACATATTGCCCTGTGATAACCCTCGAAGACGAACAAGGGCGCTGGGCTGGGTTACTTAGAGTGATGAATGATAATGAAAATATCAAGGCCCAGCAAACAGTCGAACTCATAGCTATCTCTCAGGGTAGTTCAAGCTTTATGGAAGCTGCCGTGGCGTACGAGGAGACGGTTGACAGACTGGCCTGCTACCAGTTCAGGCGCGATCACTGCCATTTCGCGCTGACTGAGAGTTTCCAGCAGAAGATAGGTGAGAAGGAATGATATCCTGGAAAATCTAATGCTAACAGTGTAGTAGCGTATTTTGGAGATTCGAGATCGGAATGTTATAAGAGTATGGAGAAAGAGGCCGACGAGCGGGATCAGGGGCCCTTTTTTCTCAAAAACATCAACTGTTATCACTTCTATGATGAGGAGGGGCTACCAAAAGAGTGGCGTCACGAGAATTATGATTTCTACAACGTGCTCTGGGTCGAAAGGAGAGGCGATTTCATGGAAAGAAAGGCTGCGGGGCGGGTGCCTAAAGCAATCTGGGAGCAGAATCAAGGGGCGCTACAAAGCATCAAACTCGGTTGATGCTTTAGGGTGTATAGCAGGTGAGTATAGCGATCTTTACTGGGTCAAAAAGCTTCAACTATAATTAAGTCGTGGCTTTGGTCACATTGCTGGGAGCTCATTTTCAAAAGCGGAAATAAGACTTGGCAAGGTCGGCCTTTTAGGTAACTTATGAGGCCAGTCTACGTTTGCGTGTTTTGATTATAATTGCTGCTGGCGGGGGGATGTTTCGTGACTGGAAGATGCGGAAGCTGTAGTGACGGTATCTATTTCTATAGTATCAAGTGGATAAGAGATAAATATTTAATCCAATCGGAGATGTTACTTAACTTGTAGTGTTGAAACGCACGATGATAAGTTGAGAAATGCCAAGTCGAGCACGTGGAAGGTGGTTTAAATCACGTGGCCGGATCTCATCTCTTTACATAGAACCTATTCAATGTGGGGGCGCTGTGCCGGGCAACCGGGAATCATTATGTAAAACACCGATGACGTATGTTTCTCATTAGCAGACAAACTTCCTCTCCTATCTTCTTTAATTGCTTTAACTAGGGGAATTTGGGATAGGAGATAGACATAAGAAGACGGTCCTGGATTCCAGTCTAGTCGATTATTTCTATTAAAAAGAATGGCTGCTTTTCTTCGAGGACGACAGGCAGGCATGCAAAATGACCTGTCTGCTAACATCATCCCAGGCTCTTTCATACCGGACGATCGGGCGCGTTACGGCATTAATTCTCAGATCAGGTACGCCATCATGAAGTCATTCAGACTTACTATATCTTATAGTTCCCGGGGTTCGCTAACTGAGTTTATTTCACTTATGTAGCTGCATCGCCTATGAGCCTATCCAATCTCTTCTCGCCATTGGAACGAATGAGTCTAAATATGGAAGCGGGAAGATATACGTCTTCGGCCAAAGCCGTGTCCAGAAACTGCTTGTTCCATCACGATCATGTTCTTTTTCAGATATCCAATTCACCAATAATCGCTTGGTGAGCCTAGACACCAAGAGCGAGGTTGTCATATGGGATCTAGATACTGGCAAGAAGATCATCGGCTTTCGTGTGCCTGGAATTGTCTCTTGTATGATAACTGACCCCGTATTGGATTGGTGTTTTCTAGGCACGCAAACAGGGGACGTGCATACATATGATATCGACAGACAACGTATGGCACCGTTTCAAATTCCTAACCTATGGGCCGAAAACGATCCTAGAGCTCGGGCGGTGGCTCTGGTCTCTATGCAGCTGCACCCGCGCGACATAGGTAAGCTGTTAATTGCTTACACGCATGGTATAGTGGTCTACTCGTTCAAGCAGAACATTCCGACCAAATTCTTTGAGTATCAGCTACCCCCGGGAGCTCCAGGAGGGTCAAGCCAGGCTGTCGAATCTATGAGGAAACCAAAGGTTACTCACGCGTTATGGCATCCTACTGGAACATTCATACTGACTGCCCATGACGATGGAAGCTTGGTATTCTGGGATCCGAGAGATGGGCGCGTGGTATTGGCGCGGACTCTCTATGATACCAACATCAATCAACCCGTACCAAATCCAGGCTCCTCGAGTCCCAAGCACCCGTACACTCGCGTTGCTTGGTGCTGCAAGCAGAATCCAGAAGATAGTGGTTTACTTATCGCAGGCGGCCGGAAGTTTGATGAATCCTCAAATGGTCTAACTTTCATCGACCTTGGGATTACACCTAATTATGCTACTTCGTCGTGGCAGATCCTATCAGATTACCTGAAAGGTAAACACCATAATACTATACAGACGCCGCCTGGGGTTGGAATTGCAAATTTCTTTTTGATTCAACGCTTCTCACCTCATTTCGCCGGTGCTCAGGACCCAATTGCTATCATGACTCTACTCTCATCGGGAGAAATCCTCACGTTGAGTTTCCCGAGTGGTTATCCTATTTCGCCAACAAATCAGCTTCACCCGTCCGTATCATTCGCCCACCCGTTCGCGACCAAGTTTGGGATAACTATACTTGATCGAGGGAGGTGGCTTGGAATGGTTGAAAATAGGAACCAGGGTGAGCCGTTATTGAAAGGAGGTGCCGAGGCACCACGACCGCGCCGGCGTTTCGAGGGGCGAACTATCATTCAGGTTGCGCACGCGGATAGCACAGTACGAATTTGGGACGTGGGCCACGGTGATGAGATCGAAAATTCGTCCCAGCTTCAAGTTGATGTCGCTAGAGCTCTTGACCGCTATGAGGATGTAGAGATTACGGCTATGACTATGGCTTCCACCACCGGTGAATTCGCTGTTGGTACAAGCAAGGGTGAAGTTGTCATCTACCGATGGGGTGGTAATCCGTATTTTGGGAAACCCCCGGACCAGCACATCGAATCAAACCCTGGAGGCATCACTAATATTAGCACAAGAGCCGAGCCATCTCTAAAGAGTGGGCTTCAGCCGTTAGCGTTATACGAAATGATGCAGGGTCCAATCAGCGTTATAAAGGCTTCAGACGCAGGCTTCCTTGCTGTTGGATCCGAGAATGGCTTCATAAGCATCATTGACCTTCGAGGGCCTACGGTCATGTTCCAAGCGCCGATGGCAGAGTTTGTTAAACGTGAAAAACGTTCGTCGTTTTTTAAAGGCCGGTCTAGCGTGTCGATGGCTAAGGAATGGCCTGTGGTGCTTGAATTTGGTGTCATGACTCTTGACGAGGACAAATATTCCAGCATATGCTGCTTCGTTGGCACAAACCTAGGGAAGGTCATTACCTTTAAGATACTACCGTCCGGTGCGGGATATACTGCTACGCTAGCAGGTGTTGCACACCTAAATGATAAGGTGGTATCTATATGCCCCATTGTCGCCGCGGATGGAAAGCCCGCTCTTGCTACGGGCCAAGCTGTGGCCGGGCTCAGAGAGGGAAAACACGTCAACGGCCTACTTGTAGTTGGTAAGCTGACCAATATACGGTAATATTCTTATAAATACTAACTCTATTTTAGTCACGCAAAGCGAAGCTCGCATTTTCAAGCCGTCCACGGCTAAAGGGGCCTCGAAGTCATTCGACGACTACCTCTGCAATGCCGCTGCGGTGACCGAGTTCGAATTGCATGGAATGGCCTTGGTTGGCGTATTTGGAGACCTGACGACGAGAGCTTTTAGCCTGCCAGGACTCAAGGAACTAGGAAGCTACTCACTCCCTATGATGGATGGTAGTCGATCTATTGATGCGGTAGTGACAGGGGATGGCGACATATTCTGCTGGACAAGTCCATCCGAACTTGCAATTCTTCAGGCGTGGGGTACCGGCTTACCATTAGAGAACACGGCTGATAAGCTCATTAATCCTAACCTCGAAATACCCCCGAGGCCGACTATCTCAAATGTGCAATGGATCTCGGGCACGCAATACGTCACGCCGGCAGACCTGGACCTCTTGATCGGTGGTCCCGATCGACCTCCCGCTAAGCGCATGAACGCTTCAACAGCAGCAATCGAACGGGATCTAGGAGAGGGTCTCGGTTCGGGATCAGGTAGCCAAGAGGGCTGGGGTGATTATCTCACCAGGCAACTGAATGAGCGTACAGAGAAACTAAATCTTATGAACGACAGTCTGGATACCGCCGCGGATAGTAGCCAAAGATGGGCTGATGATGTTAGTAAGTACGTCAGCCAACAGAAAAGGAAGATGATTTTCGGGAGCGTTGTAGGCAAGTTCTCGTAGATTGTATGCTTTTCTATATTCTAGCTTTGCGTTTCGTGCTTGATATATTAGGTACGCTGGAGTTACGAGAATAGGCTGGTAAAGGTATTCCTAAAAGCATCGGCGACGTGTGGATTTTCAGGATTGATAGCTATTACTGCTATTTTATTGAATCTTATTACAGCATGATAGCCCATCCTAAGAAAATGAAAATGCCAAGTTGGAGATGCGGCTCACGCCGTTACAATAGTTCTTTGACTTTATCCCCCGACGGTAGATATCCTGCATTCTGCCGCAAATGAGGGACTTAATCAGGCAATTCAACACTCGGTTCAAGCGAACCGAGAGCGTGCTCTATCTATTTATATATTGTTCCTTAGCGGGACCTTGCATCTCTGGCATATATATATGCGGTAATTGGCTGTTTATAGATTAGGATGACGCGATCGCGGGCAGCTCAAGTATGAAATAATAACCCTATCCTCACCTCAACTCTTTCTTGAACCTCGTAATACCTTTTGAGATCCTTATAAAGGTCATATATAGAGGAGAAAATAGAAAATAGGCACAATGCGAATCTCAGCAGCGGTTCTTGTCTCTCTAGCTGCCCTTGGCAGCGCCCAGAAGGCCACATTCGAACTCTCGTACCCCTCGCCGTGGGGAACTGGTGGTCCGGGATGGGACGAAGCATACGAAAAGGCTAGGGAGTTCGTCAGCAAGCTTACGCTGCTTGAAAAGGTTAACTTGACGACCGGGACTGGTAACCAAGCGGATTTGTGTACGGGGAATACGGGGTCGGTGCCAAGACTCAATTTCCGCCATCTGTGCTTGCAGGATGGACCTGTGGGGGTTCGGTATAGTAAGTTGATATATATCTCAAGCTGGAGGAATAAAGGCGAATTGCAGGAGCGTGAAGAAACACGCTTGATTTGTTGGTCGGGAGAGTGTGTGTTAATGAAAACTTATTCTCGATAGCCGATCTCAACTCCGTGTTCCCGGCGGGCATCAGCGCAGCGGCAACATGGTCGCGCTCTTTACTCCGGAAACGGGGCGAGGCGATTGGACAGGAATTCGGCGGTAAAGGCATTGGTAAGCAACCCCTTTTCCGCCTTTTTTACCACCACCAGCTAAATTAATATCTACCCCCCTACCCAGACGTGCACCTAGGTCCCGTAGTCGGCCCTCTAGGCCGGGACCCCGCCGGCGGCCGCAACTTCGAAGCCTTCGGGCCGGACCCGTACCTCGCCGGCGTAGCAGTCGCCGAGACCATCACCGGGGCGCAGAGCGCGGGCGTGGTGGCCAGCGTTAAACACTACGTGCTGAACGAGCAGGAGCACTTCCGCAGCGGCATCAGCTCCAATCTCGACGACAAGACTATGCACGAGGTGTACCTGTGGCCGTTCGCGGACGCCGTGCGCGCGGGTGTCGGCAGCGTCATGTGCTCGTATAATCAGATCAACAATAGCTATGCGTGCAAGAACTCGTACGTCCTGAATAAGCTGTTGAAGAATGAGCTGGGGTTTCAGGGGTTCGGTAAGTTTTTCCTTGTTTTCTGAAGGCGTTTTAAGGGGTTAAAAGGGGTGCTTTTTGTCAAGACTATGGGAATATGTGTGATTAATTGGACCTTGGTGTAGTGGTCAGCGACTGGGGCGCGCAGCACAGCGGCGTCGCCAGCGCACTTGCTGGCTTGGATATGACGATGCCCGGGGAAGGGTTTGGAGCGGGTGCTTATAGATCGTACTGGGGCGGCGCTTTGACCGAAGCGGTGCTTAGCGGTGCGGTTCCGCAGTGGCGACTCGACGACATGGCTATCCGCATCATGGCCGCTTTCTACAAGGTAGGGCGGGACACAAAGCAGGTCGATATTAACTACTCTTCCTGGACGAACGAGACCACTGGCTACCAGTACTGGGCTGCGAAGCAGGGAAACACGACGGTGAATTACCACGTGGACGTGCAGGCCGACCATGGCGAGCTCATCCGCGAGATGGGCGCAAAGGCGACGGTACTGTTTAAGAATGTTGGGAAAGCTTTGCCCTTGGTTAAGCCCGAGAGTATTGCAGTGATTGGCGAAGACGCGCAGGATAACCCCGACGGGCCGAATGGTTGCGTAGACCGGATTTGCAACAACGGGACGCTTGCGATGGGCTGGGGTTCGGCGACAGCGGAGTACCCCTATTTGATCTCGCCGGCCACTGCGCTTGAGAAGCAGGCGGAGATCGATGGTACAGCATTCGCAAATGTGAAGGGGAACTTCGATCTTGATGCTGCTAAAGCGGCGGCAAGTAATGCGTCTGTTGCGATTGTCTTCGCTAATGCTGATTCGGGAGAGGGATATACGACATTAGATGGCAACTTTGGCGACCGTAATAACCTCACGCTTTGGAAAGGCGGCGACGAACTGATCAAAGCTGTTTCATCTGTTAATACTAACACTGTAGTTGTTATTCACAGCGTCGGTCCGGTCCTAATCGACCACATCAAGACGAACCCGAACGTGACCGCCATCCTATGGGCCGGTCTCCCAGGTCAGGAATCGGGTAACTCGCTGACGGACGTGCTGTACGGGAAAGTCAACCCGCAGGGTCGAACGCCTTTTACCTGGGGCAAGGGGGCGAAAGACTGGGGAGTGTCTATCCTATTCAACTCTACCTCGATGGAGCCACAGCAGGACTTCGCAGAGGGCCTCTTCATTGATTACCGATACTTTGACCGAGAGGAAATAGAGCCGAGCTTCGAATTCGGCTTCGGGCTTAGTTATACTAACTTCACATACTCAAATTTGACGGCGGTTCATCACGACCCAGGAGTGTATAAACCAGCATATGGAACCACACCCCCGGCGCCAACGTACGGCGAGTTGGATTTGGACCCGAAGAATGCGGTTACCCCTGAGGGCTTCACCAAGATACCGAGATTTATTTATCCGTACATCAATACCGCGACGATCCCAAACATAACTGCTGAGATTCCCCCGGGAGGCCACAATGCTTCTGCGCAGCCGATCCTGCCAGCGGGAGGTCCGTCGGGTGGAAACCCCGAGTTGTACGAGCTTCTCTACGTTATTAGCGCAGATATCACCAACAGCGGGGAGGTGGCCGGGACTGAGATTCCACAGCTTGTAAGTAATCAACTACTAACCACTGTATTAGGTAGTCTTGTTGATCATTCCACCTAATGCGTTTCCTAGTACATCTCGCATGGCGGTCCGACGGAACCAAAGGTCGTGCTGCGCGGGTTCGACGAGATATACCTGCAGCCGGGAGAGACGAAGACAGTGGTTTTCAATGTGACGTACCGCGACCTGAGCAACTGGAACTCCGAGGAGGAGGACTGGCGTCTCACTGGGTATCCGAAGACGGCATATGTCGGAGCGAGTTCGAGGGACCTCAGGTTGCAGAAGGCGTTGCCGCTTCCGAGGTAAGGTTTTGAAGGGTTGTAGAGTTTAGGGAATTTTTGGTTTTGGATTTAGCTAGGCCTTCTGTTGGATAGGAGATCCAGCTGAAAGTCTTGGACACAATAATCTCCGTATCGTCCTTGGATTCTAAGTAAACTCTACCACCATGTCTAGCATAAGGGCTTGAAAATACACGTAGATGTATTATATTCTCGCTGAAATAATATCGTATTGCCTATACATACTATCTATCATACGATACTACGCTACAGAATAAACGCTGATGGTAAACATATCGAGCCCTCAACATCTAATAGCCATTCCGTATTCTTTTACACATAGCAATCGTGTATATCCCAATCCCAAGCTTTAATCATTTCCCGAGTCTCTGGTGAAGGCTTCTCTTGCGGGGCCGCCTGTATAGCCCGCCCGTCGCGTGTTAGGTGCGTTACCATGAATAAGAGGTTCATGTCGATCATGCCGGGTTCCTCGTCTACGGCAATTGTTACCTTTTTGATCCGCGCGTTGTTGAATTCTCTGCTGTATTCCCTCAGCATCTTCTGCTGGCCCTCGAGGAACGGGTTTCCGTGTACGAGTTCGGCCCAGCCAGTACTGTTTGGTTCGCTGCTACGTCTTAGTGTTCCTGACGGGCCGTGTAGGGCTTATATGGTCGTGATGAGAGTTAGAAGGGCTTTTGTAGGTACTTACTGGATAAATATTAGCAATAGTACATGGGTTAGATGAGAAACGGAAAGCTGTAGAAAGGAAAAGGGGGTGCGTACCAAATTGACCACCATACACTCCCTATCTGGGAATTGTAATCCTCTCGCAGCGAACGCGGACTCGACACAATTATAGGCTGATGAATTGGTAATAAAGCCGACGCAGATCCGTTGAAAAGTAGCTAAGTCCCCTCCTGCAGCCTTATAGTTGTCGACTATCATGTCTCTATGTTTCATTCTCGGCGGTGGCATAATGCTCATATTGACCGAATGGGTAACGTAGGCGAAGTTGGGTAGGGATACGCTATATGACATGACAGTGCGGGCGCCCCATTTGATGAAGAGGTGTTCCCACACATCCGTACCTGTGGTGTTATCGGCTTCCATGTATTCCAGCATCTCGCCTAGCCACATGGGTCTATTACCGAAGGAGTCCCTGGTGAGGTAGTATTGGCCGATGCTTCTCCCGTGTGAAGACGACATGGTTACTTGGAAGTGCTGTGTCTAAGAAGCTAATTAATTCTATGTGACTAGGAGGAGTCGTTTGCGTAGGACATAGTTGAATTGAAGATGTAAGATTAATGCTATATGGACATATTACTCGTAGGTATTATAAGGTGCGTCGATGATCTAAGGTGAAAGAAAGGTTGGCTGATAATAGCGGCGGTTGGTGTTGCTGCTGAACCAGTACCTACCACATCGTTCATATGCAATCGTATCTCTACTTCCATATTTAGGATGTAGTCATCCCAATGTGCGTTACAGTTTATCCCAACGCGACTTCTGGAGTTTGTCAGCAAGATATAAGAAATTGCTTACCATGGGTGATTCATAGTACAACAACCAAGATGGCCTTTCTGTAGATTGTATGCAACAGTGCTACGGCAAGGCCAATGTTCTATTGAACGTAGATCTTACCAGTTAGTCTTGCCTTAGATCGCACAAATTCTATTAGGGAGGAAGTAGAACTTATTACGCAGCAACTGCGGATTTGATTTTAGGTATATAGCTGCACAGAAAGAAAGCTATTTGCATATTTTATTGAATTCTATCTAGATCGTAAGGACAATCAATAATTAATAAAACGTAGAATGTGGGAAAGGGGCTATTGGAAAGGGGGCATGTAGTTTTACAATGTAATCAAATAGATGGAATATTAGTAAAAAAGAATTGCAAAAAAAGCTCGGCCTGTGTGTTGAACACAGGACCTACGAAAAACTACTTTGTAAATGTCGTACTGTCAAGTCACGGGCATACCGGTCCAGCATATGACACCACGGTGCAGTTTTCTCTAGCCTCCAGTCACCCAGGGATACTTCCTTTTTGCGGGGTCGGCTGAGTGTTTGCAGTTTATTTCGATATATATGTCTTGTTGCCTGGGTATGTACTTTGTCGGATGTACCTCGTTGCTTAGAGGACCGAAAATCGAGCGACAGCTGGGGGGAGACTGGCACTGGCATGGGACAGCCAATATTACAGGTCGTGCAGCAAGTGGAGGCCTGCGCGATGTTTTGTGGCGTTGAGTTTAGATAGAATTTAAAATAATGCCTACGCAAAGCTCAAAAATCTACAATGTTTACCTGCATTCTTACTTGGTGGTTAACTACTATGTACCCGGTAGGTCTTATTTAACATGGTAATTATTATTTCTTGAGTCGCCAGTTTTATCTGGGTTGAATATTGTATTACTTGCCGCAGTGAGTGCCATTGCACTGGAGACGTTATCTGCGATCTGAACTATTGGATTTGATCCCAGTGGAAGTATTAGAAGAGCCCAATTCAATATAAGATTTCCGTCTTTATTCAGATTAAACATCTCTCTACCAGCTACCTGGGATTTCTAAAGCTCAAAATTCCCTAGCTAAATATAAAAATTTCGTTTGTCATTGCTTAGAATATTCAACCGCGAGTTGTGCTGGTAAGGATGAATGGTTTAGAGTTGCTGGTGGTTAAACTCTGAAAAAGCTAACTATGAGGAATCAGGTACCAACAAGAAATATAAATTTAATTCAAGTTTCATACCAGACATAATAGTTGTTGGGATATTCTTAGTCTACAACAACTGTATGTGCGAAGACGGTGATCGCACTGTACATAATAGCGATGATTTCCCCTTAGCTTGGCACGTCTGTCGGTTGGAAACAAAAGTGTCATGTGAATGTGCAAAGAGCTTTGCACGTCGAATATGCTAATAAATCATGTCTACCAGCTATCTAATCCCTGTTTATATATTGCTTTGAAGGCTGCTGGTTAGGCGTTTAATTGACCAATTTGTTAAAACTATCACTGCTTGAAGATCAACGTCGCACACGTGACCTGAACCCCTGAAGCTATCGCCATGAAACAGACTCCTTTTGCTTCACAAATACCTAAGCTCCAGATTAGATATCCAAAATTCTAAAGCCCCTGGGGATGGGTGATCAAAGCTCTGGTTCTGCGTAGCTAACCTATGTACAGGAAGCTAGCAATGCGGGATGCTGTATCCCCCCTATTCAGAGACTTGCCGAAAAATCTCCGATTGCATATATAGGTAGGTATGTATGATGATGTATATACAATCACGCATTTCCGCGGCGCCTGCTTTAGTTATGTGCTAAATCTTTTTATAGATATTACTTTAGAGGCCGGGGACTAGACATACCTAGATCCACTAGGTCAGTCCGCCGCAGCCGCACAGACGTGTCGTAAAGCCTGGCACTTTGCTGGGACTCAGTAGACTCGGTACCGAAGGATATTGCCAAAGCCCTGCTCTCAGACATCGTCGTCCTGCAGCCTATGCAATGCGTGGAAAGGCTTAGATCGATAGGTCACAATGAACGAAACTTTAGGTACGTATGTACTTAGATAGATGAGACGGCTGTCGTACGGCTTTTACCCGGCGTAAGCAGACATTTGCAACCAGTATATAGGTATACAGCACGGTCCAACCCGCGTCCAAGTGCATCGCGCAGACCAGGATGACGTCTCTAAATTCGATGCTCACAAAATGTGGGTGCGCACCGCGCATTACTAGTGCAAAGAGATCGTAATTGGCGAGAGTGGCGATCGCATGTATAACAGGTATCCCAAGTGGATGTCTAGGTAGTAAACAGATTTTGCGATGAATTTATTTGATGTGTATCATTATCACCAAGATACAACTTGTTGTTCCTCAATGTCAGGACCGCCATGCGCCCTGCTATTCAAATCTTATCCGACGTGCATTTCTCCCTTCGCATTCCCTCCCCTTTATTGTCGCCAACCACAGCTTCCATCTCTCCTTGGACCAAACTAGGTTCCTAAGGACCTATCACTTGATGAACGCATTTACACACCCTGGTACCACAATAAAAGACGTTATCCGTATGTAGCGTCCCGTTACTGTTGCATCCGGCGTGGTAATTACTCTCGCACCACTTCGTCGTGTTAGGGGAGTGGCAGTCGAGCCTGTAGGAAGTTGGCTCTTCTGCCTGGGAACGACGCTGATGTGGCGCGGCGACGGCGCAGGCGCTTAGCGCAAGAAGGAAGATGAAGATCTAGAGAAAGGGTCTATTAGTACCTATCTATTAGGATAACTTATGTATTTTGTAGATAGAATAGTTATCATTACCTTCATGGTTATCGCCTACCCGGCTTTTCCCGAGTCAAATATCAATGGTATTTAGTGATTCTTGGTAGTTGGAAGAATATTATCTTCCCTATAAAATGTCAATGTAAGTTGCGACTCGAAATTGGGTAAATAAGCCGATGTTTTACTGCATGTAGTACAAGAGATAGAAACAGACGTATATGCCACGCAAGCTCCGGGAAGTTGAATACGAAGGAACTAGGTCGAGTAGCAACATGTAAATTTGAGAAGGAAACAGGGACACAATCAGTCCTACATACACATAAGCTAATAGCCACATTTTCTTTCCTATCAACATAACGAAAACTTAACAGGCCAAGCAAACTTTGAAGGAAATTACATCATAATTTCCTCAACCTATCTTACGGTAAATCCACCTCGTTTGGACTTCTGCTTAGGCCGCTGCCTATCAATATTTCCAGGAGACTGAGACTCAGTGCTAGAGTCTTCTTCATCCTCGTCCACGGGGTGTAATTCAGACTCCTCATATTCTATTGTGATGTGCTCTTCATCATCTTGAACCTCTGCTGAAGGATCGTAGTTTCCTAGATCCATCATGTCTTCGGCTACATCTACCTCTTCGTCGTCGGCTTGGACTGTTCCTACAGGTACTAAGCCCAGACTACGTCGAATAGTATCCGCACGACGGAAGAAAGGACTCTCTTCGGTTAATGGCTTTCCACTGCTCAAGAAACCCATGGGCGTATGCGTAAAGTCCTGCCCGCGTCGCCGAACAGCCAAGTATTCCTGAGTGAACGTGTAAGGCTTTGATGTAAGAGTTGAAGTGAAGCGCTTGGTCTTTAACGGCTTCTCATTTAGCGGAACTTCGACAGCTTCGTGTACTTCGTTTGAGCTTGGAGACGTCGCTACGCTGGACCTCTCAGTGGTGGAGGTTGTCTGTTGCTCGGTGGTATCCGTTTCTGAGCTGTCAAACTCATCAATCCCAGGCTTAGATACATCTATGCCAAGCATCCTACAGATACTATCGTACTCGGAGAACTCGAAGTACAGCCTTCCGGCGAAGAATCCAAGTTCAGTAGTGAGCCATTCCGAGGGCTTCCAGTCCGGAGGAAGAGGGGGCATAGAATAGAAGTTTAGCTTATTGAAATGCATCATTCGTCGAGTAACAGGGGCTGCATATGTTAGAAGACGAGTTGGGCATCCCTGTTTCTCTTTCTCGGCGTCTTGGATGATCTGGATTAAGTGTTCGGCTTCCTCAGGCGTGACAATGATGGCTGCTTCTGGAGAAGTCGCGTAAAGAACCCACTGGACAGGGCGCTATTTTCAAGAATTAGTACTAACTACTGATAGTTAGAATGAAAGAATAAGGGAGTATTACCAAGAAATTGTCGTTCGCCGCTTCAAAGACTAACTTAACCGTCCGTTCGAATTCGCTAGAAACAAATAGCTGAGAGGAGCTGACTTCGTGGTTAACCTTATGCTTCCTGCCAAGCGCAGTCCTCGTAAGAGCTCTCATGACATGGACGAAAATATCTGACCCGGCAGGAATCCTGGCCGTTCTGGCAAAAGTCTCTAGGTCCCTGTGGAGCCCAGGGAATTTGAGAGGCGTGTACGACATGGGCTTTTTGACTTGGCGTACCGCCTCAACCTCAATCTCGGTCTCTCGCTCCTGTTCAACCTCTTGCAGGGCCGAAGCATGAACAGCCTGGCCAGTATCCTGGAAGTTTTTCTTGCGGGATTCGAGTTCCTTAACGAAGCTTGCAATTTTGGCATTTGATTTTGTGGATGCATTTGTCTTTGATCTAGGTTGGGCGCCGTAAAGCTGCTGCAAGGTTTGTCGTTCCTTATGTTTAATAGCATCAATAAACGCTGTCCTATCCTCGTCATTAACTAGGAAGTCTGGAAAATCTTCCGCCGCTTGTATCCGGTTACAGAAATCCGTTCCTTGGGAGTAGAATAGGGGCTGCAGTTGCTCAATTCCATCACAGGTGTTGTTGATAAGCCAACGGATCCTACTGCCGCGTCAGTTCTGTTTAATCATACTGGGGACGAGTATGGGGTTTCATATGGTAGGAAGTCAAACCTACACGTCGTATGAATCTACACGCTCACCATCCCTTTTATTACACAGGTCTCGAATATTCTGATTCACTTCAGGGGGCGCAAAAAATGTAACAGACTGTGTAGTTCCGAGTTGTCTTAATCGCATTGCAGCTAAGTAATTATCGTTAGTTATACCTTTCTAAATGAATTGAAATTCCAGGGGCCCTACCTTGCACAGTATGGTCTTTCGTCTGGCCTAAGCCAAGGGTTAGAGCAGCGCGAGCTTTCGGACCGAACTTGAGGTCAGTTCCCCGTGTATGAGCCTGTGGAAAGAATGTATTTAGATTATGTGTTTAATATTTGGTATAGTTGTAAACGTACCTCATCAAGATATACAAGTACCTTATCAAGGTTGTCTGCATAGGGCGAGGCAAGTAACGGGGTCCTCGTATTCTGCTTAGAAAGGATGAATGGGCTATCTCCATCGAAATAGAGTGCAGCATCTGCCCTTCCATCTATTTTTAGCCAGTTCTCGGCTAACTCCTTGTTGGATTGTTCGAGGATCTGCGCTCCAGCATCGATCAAGATACGTATGCCAGTATCGAACTTTTTAAGCATATACAAGAATGCGATCTCGCTGAGACGCTTATGGTTATGATCAGCCATAACGACATACTTCCTTGACCGTTGCTGCAGGAGATAAGTGAGTACTTCTGCATTTGTATGCGACAACGAGGGTAAGTCGTCTTGTTTAATAGTAAGAGGTAGAAGTGACTTGATGTCGTTTGTGCCTATTATACAACATATGTTAGTAGCTAGAACGATCCCATATCACTTCGGTAAAGCTAACAGAACGGGGAAGGGAGAAATAATGGGGATATGAGACTTACCGGAGAAACCAGTTGTAAGTCCTCGTGACTTGCTTAACGACGTATTCTTGGCTGATGTATCAGATTGTGCGTGGGAGAAAAGAGGGATGTCCCACCCATTCGACTGCAACCGAAGTCTGAATTGTTTCGCATGCGGTGGGAAAACAAAATTGTTCATAAAGTAGTCGATCACGGGAACTTTGAACCGAACACAACTCCAAATCTGGCTTATTTGCTGAGAGTCGTCAACGTTGATCGAGTGCCAGTCCCTCAAATAATCCGGGAAACCCTCATCTTCAGTCCATTTATCGTATTCAGAAGCGGGATCGTCTGATTTTAAGACAGCTTCTAGGGCTTGGCGGGTTTGTGACAGATTAATACCGCGGTAATAAAAGGCCAATACAGTTAATAGAATGGCCACCTGTCCCAGATTAGTACTTATGAAACGACTTTATAAAGTTCTTGTATATCTCCCAGTAGTGTAGGAGCTTAAAATTAGTGAATGTAACTTACATCGACATGTCCAAATTCCGATTGCTCGCTTGGAACCCCCTTGGCGTGGAAAGGAACCGCCACTGGGTCCCTGGAAGGGTGCAACCCATATTGGACTCCGTATCGTTTTTTGAGTGCCATAATTAGAATGCGATGGACAAAAAGTCCTCGTAGTAGATATACTGTCTGCCGGATATGTGGACGATCTGGGTATAAACGGCTGATGCGATCTAAGCTGGAAGGACGAACCTTGCCGCCAGAGAGAAACTCTTTGATGGCTAGACGATCGGCCGGGTCGATTGTGTCTATTGGTAGAATACCTCTGGTACCACGGCAAACATCGAACTTGAGCCGCTTGATCATTTCCTCCTCAACATCTGGCCGGAGGAAGAAAACAAAAGGGAACCCCCCTTGCGAACGTCTTACCACTTCGATTGATTGCGGAAAACAGGTCGCAAGATCGTATAGATGCATATCCATCAGGGCCAAAATCTGCTCGACTACAACCCAACGATGTGGATGCCCATCGACAGACATTTGCGACCCAGATGGGTAGATCAGTTGTGTCTTCACCGCTAATGTATGGTCACTCTCATCCAGTATGTCCCGGGCACATGATTGTAACCACTTTTGCACGCGAACCATCATACTAGCTTCGGGAATCCGTTGATCTAGAACCCGCTGAAGGCCGCTTAGCATAAATGACATTTGGTGCTCGGGAAGGCAAAGCATCACCCCACGTTTTCTCTGAATGTCGCGATGTATCCTATGGAATAGCTTAATATGATCCTCCTTTGTTGGTGTTTTTCGAGAAAATGGTACGTGACTGATTTCTCTACCTACAAGGCCACCTAAGCGCCCATGGAGTAGCTGTGCTGTTTGATGTAGAAGAGCTTTAGGTACGGAAACTCGCACAAGGTTCTTGCTATCGGCGAGTAGCACTGCAACCATTGGGATGATACAAGATGTCTTGCCTTGGCCCATGTTTAACTGAAGAACACTATTTGCTTGAGACTCCGGTGCGATTATTGCCAACGCAACTTCGACCTGAGTTTCACGAATGAGTAGGTTAGATTCAACCTCCAACAATAGCCAGTCAGGGTACTCCTCGACGCGCCAGTTACGATGCCCCATGTTTTGTCTCTCTTCTTCGTAGCGAGCGTTTTCTTTCGAAAGCTGATACGATTGCATTCGCATCTTTCGTTGCAAGTTTGTAATTGATAAGGCAAAGTGAAGAATCCATTCCTTCGTGCCACTTCCAAATAGGCGCTTCGTGGTTGTTCGCAGCTGTTCGAGTATAGTGATTGGAGTAATAGCAGGCCACAATTGTCCCTGTTGGAGCCACCAAATCTGCCTCCTGGAGTAATTATCACTCGGCATCTCTATAGCTGATTTAATGTCCCCGAGGCATCTTTTTACATTTTCCTGAAGATAAGATAATGTATACTCATTGTGGGAAGACGATGCTAAGCGCGGCGCAGTCGGTATTCTACGGGTATGAAACGCATTTAGACTTTCTTTTAGATCGCTGGCATATCTCTGCTGGATGATTGATTTTGATTTGGAAAATGTTTCGATAATCTGACCCAACTCATACGAAGCCCCGGAATCTTGAAGACTACCATACGAAGGTACTTCAAGTTGTGTTTTGTGCCCTTTGAAATCATATGAAGGGTTTTCGGGGTGCTCTCTAGCTTTGTTAATAGGCATCTTCATTAGATCATTTCCAAGTCCAGGTAGTGTGTAGCCCGGTTGTTGGATAGCGTATGATGTCTCAGATGATATGAAGTCTGCCCTTTGGAACCTTGCGTCTGAATGTCTCTGGCATAAAACCTTCTGAACTTCTTGGAGGTGGTTATAGAACTCATGATTATGGTATAACATCTCCCACTCAGGCTCCAGCTTTTCTAAAGCAGCGGGTATGTCCACCAGATGTACGTCGCCGACATTTGCACTCGGAGTTAGGGTAGGCCACTTTGACATTAGAGATTTCGCGAGCTTTTCGCAATCTTCTTTCGCTTTGCGAGCATGGGCCGCCTTGGCTTGCCAGAGCTTCCTTTGACCCTTACTGCTTGCAAACTCTATTAAAGGCGGATCCTCTGGTGGCGGCACTTGGAATGGTTCAATAAGCTTGACCAGAACGTCAAGCTGTGGTATCTGACGAGGTCGGAAACTGTGGTATTCCGCATGGTCAGGTAGATCTAAGGACTGGAGCTGGTCCCAATATGAAAATGCAATGAGAGTTCTTATTAGAGGCATGTTCGCATCTGACCGAAATGATATTATGCCTATGAAGAACATGAGCCTGTGCTGGTCGCGCATTTCTTTCACTACATCAACTAATGGACCCCATTCGCGGCGTACATCAGTATTAAGACGTTCTTGAAGTGTTATCTTTTCTAGAATCTGCTTATAACCCTTGATATGAAGTGATTGCGATAGATTCAATGCAAGATCTTCCACTGTGGACATAGTTGCAGGTTTGTCGCGGACTATATAGAGCGCTTCGAGGACATTCGAGTAACGCAAACTTGCAGCATGAGGATTATGCCTAGCTTCGTAAGCCGTATCGTCGGGATAATTGAATGGCAATTCATAGTTGGAACGCCTCTCATACAGTCGTCGGCGGTGCAGACTACGTAGGTTTAAGTCATGGTCGCCGGACGAAGGCAATTCCGGCATCTCAGGACTCTGAAGATCCTCTGCCCTATGAGGGTGGAATGTTGCTAGCCTGTCTGACTGTGAGATGATCTGGGAAACGATTATGCGAAACTCATCCCGCTGAATCATCGTAGGTAAATGGTGATCCCACATCTCCTTCTTCATTACTTTTATGTCTGGAGGGTAGTATTCTCGATGAGGTGAAAGGTTCGAAATGGAATGTAAAATATTAGTCGGGAGGACCGTCAAAGGTGACCATGGCTGGGAGATCCCAGAAGTTAAAATCGCCAGAGAGCTTTCAACTCCTGTTAGACCTGTTAAGGGATCTGGGAGGATGAAAGATGTGAGTGCATGTATTTCTGCCTTCTTGTATACTAATGCGGGCTCAGCCGCAGACTCTATACGGCCAAGTGTTTTGTTAACCATGAAGCGGAGATATACGGCTGTTGGCATATTGTGCAATTGCACGCATACTTGAATATGGCAGCCCCTTTTTCTTGCCCTCAGAACGCCTAGCGGGACGAGTACAAAACGCTCTAGAGGGTCCTTCAGGCTGCGGCAAACAAGTTTGCTGTCGAATCCATACCATGTGTCGATGGATTGGCAGGGATCTATCTCGGCCTGTAGGTGTGGTGACTGCAATAAATTGTTTTTGTTTACGAACCATTTCAATTGCATGCGAGGCATTTCTACGGTGAGCGCATGACCGCCGCCAGGTTGGTAGATGGTTAAATGCATCGCGTGCTCAAACCATGCGAACATCTTCGACACGCGCACGAACAGTGGACTGTAGGGGTCCACCAGGGTTTCTTTGATTCTTCGAGTGGGTGTAAATCGTGTACATATCGAAGTTGTAACATCCAATCTCCAGTTATGTGGGTGCGAGCGCCAAATATTTTTTGACTTTGGCCTGATTTCGATGATGCCAGATATCGGGTCACTGATTTTAATTAGTTCTATCGTGAAGAGCTTAGCTGAGAATTAGATTTAATAACTTACAGCCAATGAATGCAATTATCAATAAGATGTGCGGGAAGGTCGAAAGAATTTCCATCGCGAAATATCTTTCTTGGGACGAGTTCCAAAACTTGTGAGCCTTTAATGGCACGGATTATGGTCTCTCCTTCATCGTACCCTATATGAGTATGGTATCCGCCTTTTTTGAAGGCCAAGACTGAATATATTCGAATATTAGCCGCATACTTACTTGGAATACTTCTTGAATTGTAGGACAAAAATATGCCAAATAGTACTCACCGTGCGTCATTCCTGGAATGGATGATGGGAACTTCATGAGACTAGTCTGGCTCCCAAATAGTTCCTCGAGTATAATGGTGCTCTCGGGATCTGCTGGAAGTCTCTGTGATTACATGTTAATAGAGTGTATCCCAAATCCACGTGTGTCATAGTTACTTACACCAAGTGGCTGGCCATTTACTAGCAAGATGCCGAAAAGGTAGTTATAGCTCACAATTTCAAACCCATGTTGATCAACTAATTCAACTTGAAGCCAGTTATCAGCTTGCAGGCTGACGTTATATATGTGCTTCGATTCAGCAGCCGGCCATAAGACCTGTAACGTGGCAAGAAGAGCATCATGTCCATGAAGCTCTATGGACCTCCTTATCTTATCCTTCAGCTCGTACATCATTCTCAAATCACGAACGAATGAGTTCTTCATTATTTGCCCGAGGGAGGAAATATTGTCCGGAATATTGTCGTAGACTGTTGCACTACATTCTAAAAATGTAGAAAGTTCATCCTTATTGAGATCCTCAGTTGACATCTGGAAAATAGCAAATGTTCTCTTGCAGAGGATAGCGGCCCACAGTAGATATGACTGACAGTTCTGTGCGTTACTAAGGTCGCTGGCACAATACATTTCCTTCCGTAGCATTCTGACCCATTGGAAAGTTACTTGTCTCGCTTCAGAAAGGAGTAATAGTGCTTTTGACGCCAAGTAGTTTGTATCTGTAAAAGGTGTTGTAAACGCGAGTACTCTCAGCGCTAACATGATGACGATCTCCATAAGGTGAGTTTCACGCCAATTGGAAGCAACGGCTTCCAACTTTATTCGGAGTTGTTGAAGTAAATTTTCACAGAAAGAGGTATCTCGAAAAATATAGTGCACAGTTCCAAGAATCGCTTGGTGCTTGTCCGAGGGGCCAATCTGATGTGCTAAGTGGTCAAATAAAAGCACAGTCGTTTCTGTAGAAATATTGAGATTTGAAGACCCAAGCTCTGCTAGAAGAGCCATCCACCGACGACGTTTTCCGGATAGGAGGAATTGGAAGGCCATGTACTCGTGTATACTTAGGGCGGAAGGACAGGATGAATGAGACGCCGCAATCTCATAAGAAGTTGGCCCATTGCCATAGGCGTTGAAGCTTTGAGACTCGAGAAGTGGTGAAAATGGCGAGCCTTTGGGCAGTGTTAGCTTACAATGGTGCTCGAAGGTTGGATGAATTTCTCTGCGACCGGGCCAAGAATGAGTAGCCTGGTCAAAGTATGCAAGCTTGAGACCGTTTGGAAGGCAAACTTGATCAAGGTCAACTGGGAACTTCTTCCTCTCCTTGTAATGAGTCATCAGAACTACTTTGTGTTAGTAGGTTATTGCTATCGTGGAGAAGAGTATGTGATAACTCACAGGATTTGGTCGTTGACGCAAGGGTTATGTGTCCAGGAACCTTTGCATACAGCTGTAGCCCCGAATAATCCTGAAGGCATAGCTTCGGTTCGACGCCCGACTCCTGTGTTTGCCTTGCGATGCGATACAAGATTGCCCACGTGGCGTCGCGATATTGAGCAAGAGCTTCGGGACACCTGAGCTCAAATACTACGGCCTTTGCCATGACAGGGTTTTCGGGTAATGGCGATTCGAAAGCTTTGATCACCATACGAGATCTCCTTTTATCAAGTTGACATTTTGGACAGTAATGAGGTTCGTGCTCTAAATGGAAGCCATCTCGTGATTCGACATAGAAGCATGTTGAAGACTCGTATTCTCTTGTCAGTTTCTCATATTCAGCACTCAAATTCCTCCACTCCTCTTCTTTCTCCTCTCTTCTTTTCATGGAGTCTGATTGTATTTCGGAAAGTATGTTTGTGAGCGCATCGGAGCCGGGAGATTCATCGAAGTATCTTTCCGCGAAGCATCCTTTACACGGATCATCAAAAAGCGTAGCCCGTGTTTTAGATTTAGAAATTCGATCTTGTATATATGACTCCACTTCCCTAGCTCGCGAGATATCAGACAGGAGTGGAAATCGGAGTATTTCTATCAATCGTGAAGTAAAGGCTGGGTGAAAATGATTCAAAAGTGGGAACATGGAACACGCCGCTTCGTCAAGCGACATCCACGTCTCCAGTAGCGTAAGCAGCATAATACTCTTCTGTTCTGCGTTATTCTCGTAATAACCGTCAATTTGGTCGATATATTTAAGAATCCCCTTGTAAAGCTGTCGGACCTTTGCTGACAGACTTAAAGAGGATGTGGACATATTAGCAGAAGCAGCCTGGAGTTCCTTCTCTTCGTTAAATAGTCCAAAGAGCTTGCTCCCAAAGGCTTGGATGTGCACCTTAGGCTGTTGCGGCGTTATACGAGATGGAGATGCCCTACGTGGAATGGCTGCTTGGAATCTTTTGCGAGCCTTATCCAGATATGGGCGACTTGAAGTCAGACTCAAGCGTTGCTGGTGTCTATTTGCTTCCCGAGGCAACGGGAGTATGGGCCTGGTCGTGTTTCGCTTCTCCTGCTCCCAAGCGCTATTGATCCTTGCTGCTGTAGCATCAATTACTCTATTAAACCGGGGCGTTAAAGCTGTGGCTAACAACGAGTAGGAATTTTGAACGGCTTGGGGTTGCTCGAGACGGTCCCGATCAAGCTTAAAGAGACGACGGCAAAGTTTAGCCTTAAGAAAGGCTTGGTCTTCCAAAGGAATGATATCTCGAGTATCATCAAGTATCATACCATGAATAACACACATCAGAAACTTGTAGTGGATTCTACCATGGGCTCCACCAAGCATCATTGCTAGGTAACGCGAGATGGCGACCCGAAGCACAAGCCAATAAGGCAACCTTCGCCAGGGCAGTGCGCTACTGAACCAGCACACGTCATCTCTGACCCTTTTCTGAAGAAGCGTAGGAGAAATGCGCTTCCCGTTCGCCTCAAGTATCGCAGTGAGAAGAGATGTGACCAGAGCCGGATCCGAAGTTCCTCTATCCTCTGCTATTTCGTGTCCTGCCTTTCTACCATATTCGGAAAATTTCTGAGTAGACTCAACTGAGGCCTGCTCGAGAAAGGCCGAGAGGCTTTCAAGAAACGTATCACTATAGAATACCGAGGAAGGTATTAACACAGCAGTGCCAGGGAATGTCCATGACAGGGTTTGAGATGCCAGGACTGATTCGCGTCGAGGCGATGCCTCGAACGCCTCGAAAAGAATGTTGCCACTGAACTCGGGGCTAAATGCACTTTGTCAGTCTCAACCGTATGGGTGATGGCAAAAGTAAACTTACTCTGTGGGTTTATAAATGAGAAGTCCTGCATTTTGAGCCCCCACGTGAAGTATGACAAGCTCAGAGTCTCGAAGTTCTTTGAGATACGAGGTGAGATGGGTTCTTTCCAACTTTCCACCAATATTCAGGGCTTTGCAAGCTAGGAGTGAGCGCCTGACCGAGTTCCAGATTTGCCAATGGGTGCTATCTACAATGCTCTCCATGAGTTTGGCCGCAATTATTAGACGGTCCAGAATCCCGCGCTCGATATCCTCAGTATTAGACTCAGACCCTCGTGGTAGCATCGCAGGTAGTGCAATGTGATGAAACAGGGCTTTTAGAACCCCATCTGGGGTTTGAACCTCTTCGAAATCCATTGTGTGTGGGCAGAACCAACATTAAGACTTCGTAAAGCGAGTCCAATTGCTGTTCCGACGACAGGATCACATAGAAATACAATGTAGAAGAAGAGTATTTTCACAGTTTATTCCAGTTGTCTCGTCAAAACTATCTGTAGAAATAAAAAGTATGAAGGGGAAATGTAGAAAGAGCATCTATTGAAGTTGTATTCGCATCAATAAGTGCCTGGCGAGAAGAAACGAGTAGGATAGTTGGAAGCACCATGGGAGAGGGAAACATGGCGGGAGGGAATATAGAATAGTGAACGAAGAACATAATATCTTGCCGTGCGTTCGGGGGGTAAAATACCTGGTAGGTAGGTTATGTAGGATAGGTACTTAAGGTAGGTATTCAAACACAAGCGTAATGCACTACAATTTACACATGTATGAGTTGTGTTGGTTCTAAGATGATAGATCATTCACTGGAACCACATGGCGCATCGTCAAATTCAACGAGAGCGAATCGATATCTTAGCGCTATTTGTTTGGGCCGAGATGTCAATAGGCAACCGCGACAAGGCTGCCGAGACACATAAACAAACCTCAATCTTAGGTAGGCAGGTGCTCTTTATGTAACGTTATTTTATCGTTATTGCTAAGGTAGTTCTAGGCCAAGATTCATAGCAAATATCATTAGCTGTTGCTTAAAAAGTCGAGTACCTCCTAGCCTAAACATAGGTATGTACCTAAAGGCAAGAAGGACCTAAAGCCATTTGTATTGGAACATTTATGATTTTCATTTGGGAATAAATATTTGAACGTCCAGTGTTAGGTATCAGCACCTCCTCCAATCGACGCTCGGACCATATACAAAACTACCTCATACACCCTTTTAAAGGTGCATGCGATGTACCTAGGTATGTATTAAAGTTTACGAAGTACGGCCATGTGAAAGTTAGTAGGTTACGTGCATACTCTATCCGTTGCATCCACCTTTACTTCAAGGCGTACATTTCGGTTACTTTCAATACCTTTACAATATATGTATGGGGAAAATCTTAAAAAAAAAAAATACAAGGAGTTAGAACTTGCATTAAAGTCCACCTAAGTAGCTTAATAATACTAGATATTGATGAATGAGTCTTAAATATTTATTCATGTAAATAAGGTAAATGTCCGTTTACATCATAAGAATCAAGGATGAATAAAAGGCTGAAAAACAAACGGGAAGCCGGATACGCGTAGCCGCAAAGACGGGAAAAATAAATTTGACTAAGTTGGGGGTGCCTATGTACGCGTTTCCTTTGGTACTTACTTACATGTATAGGTAATGTTGTATGATCCAAGTAGACTTTAACATTGATAGACTGTCCCTAAACTTTTTGTTTATAAACATCGGACTAACATATAAGGTTTATTTTATTGTACATGTGGCCTAATCTCAAAAAGGTCCATGGCTTTATCTTTATAATTAGTGTTTAAATTTTGTATAGGTATAAATGGCTTAATATTCTCGGCAGCCTTATTGTATACAATGTCCTCAACGGCTTAATTGTGGCTACATCGTTAGCCAATGACGGGACTTACATTACACGAGAACTCGGATTATCCGTGCTTAATGTTAGTGGTTATAAGCTTTTAAATGTTATGTTGCATTTTTACACATACGTCTTCTCTGAATATGGTTTAAGAAAAGCGAGAAGCTAATGGTAAAGCTCATTCTAAGTTTCATAAGTGTATATAATTTACTAGTTCAGCATTCCTCGCCTTTGCCAAGAGCTAATTCCAGGTTTATTTATAAATACGAATGACTTGATATACTAATGAAGCTATAATGTCGCCATCAAAGAGCCATGTAAAGTAAGAATATGGTTGAAGGATTATCTAAGTTGATGATTACTTTACAGGTATGGATCAACTCGTACGAGTTAAAATTGACATGGATAAACAGTCGTGGGAAAGACTAAAAGCTTAAATCGCACTCGGCATATCACATCTACTATGGAACCCGAAGATCGCACGGTAAAGTCTTCCGGCCGCTAAACTGGCGGCGCAATGACATGGGGGCAAAAGAACCCTGTTAGCTTGGGCTTGCGTCTATATTACCTAGGTACCTAAAACTCTCCGTATTCAAATTATGTAGGCAGCGCATCCTTTAGATTGTCGTGGTTTTATCCTTACAGCCTCTAGTCCTCGTGTAAGACATAAACTTCGATATATCTTAACATATATAGTGGTGAAGTGTAACGCTGATAAAGCGAAGAAAGCCAACAATCCTAACAGTGGCTATACTCTCGTGTGACTGCGGCACGGCGCTTCACCAAGCTTATTGACTCAGTTTATTGAACGTCACAAGTAATCTCATGTTTACGAGAACCTAAATGCGTAAGCTGTGTTCGTCATGGCTAGCGCTGCGTCTCAGCTGTGCCGCGCTTGTACCGCTGAGACATAATGATCAACTAGCAAGATCAACTTACCCGTCACATCGCATAGGAATAAGCTTATCCACTCTATAGGCTCGCTTATATTATGGGTTATGACGTACTGGTCGCCGAGCCCGGCGATATAATGGTATATCCGCGTTAATAATCAACCATGGACCCCGAACGGCCCTTGGAGTCCCAATTAAAGTAGGATACATGGGATGCATGGGCACATATGTACCTAGGTAGTTAGGTAGGGTCCGTTGGTTCATAGGGCTGAAGTAGATCCACTTATATGTAAGACATTTTAAAAGTTACAAGTAGGTAATCGTGCCTAATGATGACTACCTAGCTTATGTAGGCCTTTATTAGTTGCTCTCGAAAAAGATGGAAGTGAAGTAGCCGCGCTTAGAATACGTTTAGTACCCGTCTATATTACCAATCTAAGCTAAGCGCCTTTACGTCACATTAATGCAGCGAATCTTCCCCGATACATACATGTAGGTACATATGTACACTTAGGGTCGAGACCTTTGGCGGTAACACGGCATATGAAACCCACTTTGAAAGGTGGGGTTTCCGATAATCGCTTAAGCATATCCCTGTAAGGAGGCGGGTGCGGGGATCAGGGGCAGTTCATGATGCGGGACTTGAATACGATAACTTCTAAGACTTTAGTTTAAAGTGCTTACCTAACCTAAGGTCATGGCCTGTTATAATTATCTTAATAGACCTAAAACAGGCAGCATTACTCATATACAACTATTCAAAACACGTAGTTAAGATACAGAAGGAAAACGTTACATTGCTGTAGTTATACTTTAAGCAGTCTATTACAAATCATTGAAAAACTCCATCTCTCCATATCAGCATAGACTAAATCTATAGCTCCTAACTCCTGATCCTAGCTCTAATTCCAGCTCCTATTTTCCATCATAGTTTCGGCAGGTGTTCATTTCTGGCATGAATATGTTTTATGTATTCCCTCAAACTAGCATAATGTTCCTCGATGTGACGTAGATCGCTTTCACCGGGAACTTAGTTTTAATAGCATTGACAACATGATCGTTCGAAACATCTATAACAGGTAGTCTACTACTTGATGACCGACTTGCGAACCGAATTGCCGGGGTAGAGAAGGTGACATGTTGCCCATCGCTAGAGTTTCTGTCGCTTTCTGGAACGTTGATCCTCTGTCGCATCTTACCGGACCTGAGATCAACTTCAGCAATAAAGTCTTCGGTGGTCCTCTCTCCGCGCCTCCTGGTCTGCGTCGGTTCGAAGTTAGTGACTATTCTAGACTCGAGATCGATCCAAATAGTCCCTCCGTTGACGTAAGCATGGATATAGCTACATGACGCATCTAGCTCCATGCAGTGTGGCCCGGTATACGGGGTAATATCGATTGAACCGATAATGTCACCAATTGAAATGTCGAAAATAAAAATTTCGTTAGACATCTCAATAGGCGCAAAACTATGGCCCTGCCGATGTCGTTGACTGATGTATACTTTGATGATGATTGTTAGTAATTACTGTATTCTGTGAGAAGTCTTAAGGGGCACAGGAATAAACCGGAGCAGAAAAGGGGGGAGGGGGCCTTGACACTACTTACAAAGGTTCCGGCTCCAATCATGGACAATCTCTTGCGGTTCTGCAAGGAGGTCGTCGAGAATGTAGACCCGATACGATACTGCAATATCTGCAAATGTGCATGCCTGGCCCTCTGAGTGACTCATGTTGGAGCTAGTGTTGGACTCTGAAAATACTTTCGAGTTGTTATTGTTGGTACCGAAGAGAACTCGAGAGCAATCTGTACTAGGGCGAGCTTGGATGATTCTAGCGTCTGTCTTGACATCTTGCAATAGTGCCATGTCGGCGGGTGTCTTCGAGAAACTTATAGGGTTCTGAAGGGCTATCCTAGAGAAGGCCTCCGGCATCACCTTTTCTCGTGTTGGTTGAAGGAACGTGCCGTAGAGAAAGACGGATCGCTCAATTTACATCACGAAGAAGAATTTCTCTCTTGCTTCACCCACTCCGGCAGAGAATGAAGAAGAAGGAAGAATAAGAGAAGGAATCCACCTACTACGCCATCCCGATTTCCTATCATAGGACCTCCCGGCCGAAGTTAAGCCTCGCGGCTACGACGCGCAGAGTACTGCCACGTGCTTAGCCGCCATTTTCCAGAACACCGGTAAATGTCTCTTCTCTTTGCTGATCATGGTTCCCGGAATAGTTAGGTACGAGCCCCATACCAAGCCCGCCAATCATAATTGTGCGTATCCATGCATCTCGTAACCGGTAGCCAATCAACATCTTTTCAAGCCGAACGCCGCTTCAAAACGTAAACCAAATTGAGTAGACTAGTAGGATTCGGGTGGTTTCAAAACAGGATCCGAATAGGCACCATTATAAGCATAGAATCACCGAAATGGGAACTCAGATTCAAAGATCCCACCTAGCCAAAAGGGGTCATTAATGAATGTCTTGGGAGAGCTATTTGCCCCACTCTGAGCAAGGACGGGGATAAAACACATAGACTGTTTATTGTCTTTACTGACTACGTTGCATCCGGAGTAAAATTATCTAATGGATTGTGGAAACTACATTATTTCAAAACGCCCATCTCTCTGAGCATCATGATTCATAAACCATGCACGCACAGTTTCTCAACTGTCAGGACTACCAGGCAGAGGAGTCTTAGAAACCTCGGACTTTTTTTAGCGAGAGATATAAATCGGGAATACGAACAAAGATGAAGCCATAGTTCACCGCTCCGGAAAACAACGTTACGAACCCCCGAAAAGCAAGCTCTCCATCCTAAAATATGAGACATGACTACCTATCCAGAGGACAAGTAAGAGTTGACACAGAAGGATCGTGAGATTCTTCGTATTCAATATAGCAAAGCAGGGTAGCCCTCAGGCTTCTGGAGTGTGTTCAATTTTATTTTTATAATGCACAGCGCTGATGACAACATTCGTATGTCTGTGCCGTTTAGAAATACTAGACTTTCAGTGTTTGTTAAAATCGAACCACTACACATAGATAAATCCTTCATCACGGTTAACTTGATCCTTCGCATTTAACTGCCTCATAAATAAACAGGGGACTCTTAACTCCTATATTTTTTTTATTGATCTTCGACTTTACTTGGTACCAAGGTAGGCCATGTTTCTTCGGGAGTGCGGAAGGAACCGAGATATACGGGTTACAAATGTAGTTTATATCGTGTTAGAGAATTCAGAGGCAAATAGTATGGGTTGGGGGACATTTGGAATTCAAGTCTCATGCTTCTTTCTAAACCTACATATTACACATAAATACCTATCTTTCTAATATTCTTCCTCTCCCCTTACTCGCAATATCGCTACCATGGATTATAGATAGTATAAGTTCAATTTTAGGTACAAAATGCCTGCGTCGGTATACGATTTAGCCCCTTTCTTTATTCACTCCTATTTTAATATTTAAATCAATCCTAAACTTTCATAACTTCTTTCATAGGCGAAGGCCTTCTGTAATTAATGTTAGTTTTCGACGTGGCGTATCATTGCCAAACGAAATCAGGGACTTCGAGATCAATATATGTGGATTTAATTTGAAATATGTAAATGACATCTACAGATACCATAATATATAAACACGTGTATCTTGACCATATATAATTCATACCTGTCTTACCTCTTTAGGAAATAAGTTACCTGGTACGTAAGGTAGGTACGTCAACGGTAAAGCAGGTACACTTAGCATCACATCGCGTACCTGCCCAATATACCTCCTTCCTAAGGTAAGTGCATAGAGGTACCTAACGTGCACACAAGCTGGCTGATCCCTTATGTACCTCTTTAGACGTTGGTTGTTTCCTTTCCTTCGCCAACTCCATTCCTGCCTGGTGTTACCTTTTCAATGGTTGCTTTTCAACCCGGAATTTGCTTAAATCTAGGCATTCAATAATCTCCCTTTCAACCACCACATTTTATCTTCTTACAAGCGTGCATCTCCTCTCCCAAGCGAACTCAATAGTCCGAGGAATCGCGCCTGATTTCGGATCCAAGGGTCTATCCTTGGTCTTCTTCTGTGATCGCCATCTGTAAATAAACCTAATATATCTGTTGAAAACTGTTAGAGTTGGCATGGCGCCTTCGGGCATGTAAGTTGCCTTGTTTATTTGTCTCCTCTTTAGTAAGTTTCATGCTAATTTCTATAGACGCTATTCGGCCCAATGCCGCAATGCCAACGAACCTGGTGGTTGCAAGCGCGGAGCCTCTTGTAAATTTTCGCATTCTGTACAAGACTCTCCCAGCATCCAAAGTTCAAAAAACCGCGCCAACATTACCATGTCTACTTCTCAAGATACAAATAATGAGCCTTCCTTTCATAAGTGGCGAAGAATGATCCCGAAGACTTATAATGGTAAGCCTTCAGCCTTTGGCTTTAAACTACCTCAATTCTTCCAGATCGCTCGTGATCTGGTCCAAGGTGACCTTGACGTGCTCCAAAAGACGATAACCGAACTTGCGACGGATCCAGGAGTCTTAGAAGTGCGCGAAATGATCGACGAGCAGATTCAATTTTGCAATACCGATGTTAAACGTATAACTCTTTGGCGTACTTGCGTTTTACCCTTCTTTCAAACACTCACCGAGCAGCGAGTAAGCCACTCTGCTATCTTAGAAGCGCACACAGGGACTATTTACAATGTTGTTTTCGGCCACGATGCGTCTCGTCTGGGAATTCTCTTCAACTTCTTGATTGAACTCGCCGTGAAATGGACATCGCCGCTTATCAAAGATGACGACGGACCAAAAGCTCAATTCCTAGAACTTTGCTCCGCAATATTAGCTAAGGCGATCAGTTACAATTCTCAAGCACTCGTGAACGAGAAAGTCCCGCCAATTGTTAGTCGAATATTGAAACTTATCGATGACGTTGATAAGAGTGGCCGTAGCTTTTGGACTTTACAAGCGAGGAAACATCTCGAGTATATTCAGCGTCGTCTTGGCGTCATCAAAGAAGCCGCGCGGGATGACGCCCCAAAGCCCCAGCCCCTTGGACATGCCAAGTTTGTATTACGTCGGGATCTTCCTGGAACTTTGTCCCTGGAAGGTCCACGTCACGACAATGATCATGAGGATATAACGAAGATTCGAATTCTACCAACAATGTCAGAGATCATGTCCACCCGTTCGGATTACCGGCCACTCCAAGATCCCTCACAGCTACACTTGCCAGGGATCCAGGGGTTAATCGACCGCCACTTTCGACTTCTTCGAGAAGATATGGTTGGTCAGCTAAAAGACTGTATTAGCGAAGAGATACGTTTTCTTGAACATCCCGAGAGCAAAGCTATCATCAACCCACAGAGTCGTATTCGGACAAACTCATATAACATTGTAGATATTGTTGACATTAAATGCACACGCCGATGCGGATTGGAGTTTCATTTGAAAATTGAGCAGCCCTTTTCTGCGGGAAGATTGGCAAGTGAAGCACGAGCAGATTGGTGGAACCTGTCGAAACGATTAGAGGCAGGGGCTTTAGTCTGCCTCCTAGAGAAGGATACCGCCGTCTTTTGCGTTGTAGCCGAATCTACTTTGAGACCAGATCCAACTCGCACGTATACACAAAAGACGGATAAAAATAGCACCGAGAAACGTAACCTTCACAGCAATAAGGATTTTGCATACGTGAATCTGAACTTAGCCGAACCGAACGAAGTAGATCTAAAGACTATGCTGTCGGTTTCACAGTCTAATGAACCTGTCAGGAGATCCTTGGTGGAGTTTCCCGGCATTCTTCTGCCCTCATTCAAACCTACTCTATTAGCCCTCCAACAGATATTCATGACTCTGGATCTCCCATTTGCCGAGCTGCTTGCATCTAGTGCTGATGGGCCAACCGAAGTTAACATCCCACCTCCCCTATATGCAACAAAGTCTGGATTTGTTTTTGATTTGAGTTGTCTTACGTTGGATGGAAAATATTTACAATTCTCCCCTCAGGAAGCCATCAATCCTGAGGAGCTTTGTAACAGATCAAGCTTGGATGAAGGCCAGGCTACAGCCCTCCTTAACTCCTTAAAAAGAAGCCTGGAACTAATCCAGGGACCTCCAGGCACAGGAAAAAGTTATACAGGGGAGGTAAGTCAATATCCGAAGTCTTGGCCCTTCTTTTCTATTTCGGGTTAAACGAGTAACATATTCAAAAATTCCACTTGCCGAAATGTATAAAGTACCTAAGAATTAACTGGCATATATACAGGCTATTATCAAAGTCCTTCTAGCAAACAAGGAAAAGGCTAGCATAGGCCCAATACTTTGTGTCTGCTACACCAATCATGCTTTAGATCAACTCCTTGAACATCTCTTTAATGGCGGAGTAGAGCAGATTATTCGCATTGGTTCAAGATCGAAATCGGCTGTCCTTACAAATCTAAACCTGCGTAATGTGGGGAAGGAAATGGAACGCACGAAATCGGAGAGAAATGCTTCATGGAAGTCGACTGCAAGTTTAAAAGGGGCAGAGGACGAGATGAAAGCATACCTAACAGAACTAAAAGCCTCGACAACCCATAAAAGGATCAAGGAGCATATCAAGGCCAGTGAATCGCCGTTCTACGATGCGATATTTGGCATAGAAGAGGAAGACTGGACTAAAGTTACCCGTAAGGACGACCTAGCTTACTTCCTTGACTGGGTCAATGCAGGTTTCGTGTCAGAGAAACCAGTCGGAGATGTTGGAGCGCTGAAGAGGCAGGATCCAATGGTTTTGAGCCAGCAGGAAAGGCTTGCAGTTTTCACATCCTGGGGTTCTGTAGTAGCTACCGACTTAGGAGATGAATTTGTCTCTCTTCACCATGACTATCAGGAAGCAAAGAGGAGACACGACACTGTGCAACGTGAGGTGGATCTTCGCGTTCTTCAAGAAGCTGATATCATTGGCGTTACAACAACCGGTTTGGCCCGGAACTTAGATATGTTTCGAAAGCTTGATAGCAAAGTCTTAATTTGCGAAGAGGCCGGCGAAGTCCTAGAGAGTCATATTATCACAGCGTTATTTCCGTCGGTACAGCACGCTATTCTCATCGGAGACCATCTTCAACTGCGCCCTCAAGTTTCAGATTATGAACTTTCTGCTGCAAACCCGCGTGGAGAGCAATATTCGCTAGACGTGTCACTTTTTGAGAGACTTGTTCAGCCAACACGGCCCACAGACTTGAAATTGCCGTTCGATATGCTCGAAATACAAAGGAGAATGCATCCATCTATATCTAGACTAATTCGAGACACCATATACGAGACTCTTAAAGACGATGCAAAAGTCAACAACTATCCCGAAGTCGTCGGCATGAGAAAACGACTATTTTGGCTCGACCATGATAGACCGGAAGCGCGATCAGATCCGAATTTCCCTACTAATACGTCTCGGACGAACGATTTTGAAATTGAAGTTGTTTCCGCTCTCGTTTCCCATCTTGTACGCCAGGGGACGTACGGACGTGACGATATTGCCATCCTGACACCTTACTTAGGCCAATTGCACAAGCTAAGAAAGAAGCTTCAAAACTCATTCGAGCTTGTTGTCGAGGCTCGAGACCTCGAGAACCTTCAAAAAGAAGGTTTAGATACCCCATTAGAGGCACATAAGCAGGCATTGGGGAAATGCATACGGCTTGCGACCGTTGATAATTTTCAAGGTGAAGAAGCGAAAGTAATTGTCATTTCTCTGGTTCGAAGTAACCCGGAACGACAATGCGGATTCTTGAAGACTACAAACAGGATCGACGTACTCCTTTCGCGAGCGCAGCATGGGATGTACATCATCGGAAATTCGACAACTTATGGTGAGGTTGAGATGTGGTCAAAAGTCATTTCCATGTTAAACGAAAGCGGGTGCATCGGCACTAAACTACCACTTCAATGCCCAAGACACAAACACACAACCATCGAAGTATCGGAACCTGATGATTTTATCTGATTGTCCCCAGAAGCTGGATGCAATCTTCAATGTTCCGAGAAGCTTGGCTGTGATCACATTTGCCGTAGCAAATGTCATGCAAAGCCCTTGCATAGGGCAGTCAAATGTCCAGAACCATGCCTACGACTAAAGTCTTGTGGCCATAGTTATCCTGGACTCTGTGGGGATAATTGTGAAGAAAGGTGCTCTACAATCCTCGAGGGGCATAGTGTTTCTCTTCCTTGTGGTCACACACTGACCTCACCTCGATGTTGGCAAGTTAAGCATCCGGGCGAGGTCAAATGTCTCACACGTGTGGGGAAAGATGTTCCGGGTTGCGCTCATCATGTTGATGTTCCCTGCTATGAAGACATTACCGAGAAGAGTTTCGTCTGTTCGGCACGATGTGGTCAACCTCTTCCCTGCGGACATGTCTGCAAAGATTCATGCAAAGCTTGCAGGGCTCGTGGTGGGACTCATTCACGATGCACATCTATCTGTGGTCGAAGCTACAGCACTTGTAAACACTCTTGTGCTGATCAATGTCATCCGGGTGAGAATTGCGCTCCTTGCGGTATGCCTTGCGATAAACGGTGCACCCATACAGCATGTTCTAAACTATGCTCCGAGCCTTGTACCCCTTGCATGTTACCGTGTTCATCTAGCTGTGTGCACAGTCAATGCTCTATGCCGTAAGTTTGCCATATCAAGCGATTACCTTATTATGCGATTACTAACTATTCTTGACAGATGCTCTGCTCCATGCAATTGGACGACTTGTTCTAACCGTTGCGGCCAGCGCTTACTTTGCGGTCATCAGTGTAAGGACATACCTTTTTGTGAGACACGCATGATCTGACTAGAGTATATAGGCCCGTCTCTTTGTGGCGAGGCCTGCCCTGATATGAAGTTCTGTCAAATTTGTGCATCTGGAGAAATAAAAGCCACCATAGTTGATACGTTGCCTGCACCTGAGTTACGCGAATATCATAAGATCAACTTGGACGCGGAACCCTGCCTTTTTCTTGATTGTGGTCACATATTTACAGTATCAAGTATGGACAGGTCGTTGGGAATAGTAGACATTTGTCGGAATGCCGATGATACCCCTATTACCATGCAGGCTTCGACGGGTCCTTTTTCGGATGCTACGATTCGGTCTTGTCCACGTTGCAGAGGAAGCTTGCGAAACATATCACGATACGGGACAATTGTCCGTCGGACGTTACTAGAAGAGTCAACTAAGAAATATATTACCTGGTCTCATACCCAGTCGGTGGAACTGGAACGACAACTTATTGACGAGGAGGAAAAACTTGTAACTTTCAAGAAGTCTGGCCGCCTTCAAGAGTCGATTAGCAGAGTAAGCAACGAACTTTACGTCAACGGAAGCCCTATCGACCAATTACTTGCTATCCACGATTGGGTTGGACATGATCGGTATAAGCCAATCATTCACCTCTACTTTACCATATTCGAATACGTTGGTCGTGTTACGGCTATGGAGAAGTCATACCGCCAAGTATATGATCTTATAGAACACACTAATCATAGTGATCGTTCCACCGACAAGTCTGAGTTGATTTACTCAGATAGACACACCCGTGGCAAGATTGCTGCTCAGACTTCTCTATTCCGATGTTATTTAGTAGTCATAAGCGACTTTCTGCATTTGAGAAGTCTGACTCGATGTCATACAGTGGTGAAGTTTAACCTTAAAAAGGCACTTGAGGAATGCAAGAAGCTAGCCGAGTTAGCACAGGAGGCGAAATATATTCGACAAGAGGCTGAATGCCATATTTTCCATTCAAAATTGGTTGCTCTCTCTCTCAACAAGCGAATCGTACTGTAGGGCCTGGTGATTTGAGCGGAGATAAGGTGAGTGTGGAAAAAGCGCGACAGCACCTTTCCAAGGCAGAGGCCCTTATTCTCGAGTTGCCAGCAGCTGCACATCTACGAAGGGAGATTGACGCCGTAAGAAGAATGTTGGTTGACAACGTTTTCTTCCGTGGCGTCTCCATAGAAGAAAGACGTAGCAACTGGAAAGCGATGTTCGAAGAAACTATTGAATGAATGTGTTCTCCTATGATTCGCTATTACATTGCAGAAACTTTCGATGCCAGCACTGAATCTTGAGCTATTGCAACCCGAGCTACATGTACACGAGGAAGAACGTCTCTCTATGTCTAATTGAAACTCGGTGTATCTGGTAATCAACCCCGAATTAATAGTTGCAGGTCTATATGACGAAAAATCTCTTCTTTTAGCCTTGAATTGACCATAGCTCTTAAATAGTTAACACTGCTGAATATGCTAGTATGTCCTCAGGTGCAAGGCTGAGAACACAAGTCGCAAATGATAAAATCCAGCTCAGTGCCTAATTTTGCCGAGAACATCATTCTGCAATACGTCTTAAAGGCAGGAAATGAAACGTTAACTTGTAAGTCTAATGTAGTAGTTATTCTATATCTATTAACTTGACGATCTTCCGGTTGACCAGCGCGTATTACGTTGGGAATACGAACAGGCGAAGAGTGAATAATTTTCCACGATTGAATCGAACTCAAAGTACATAAGATAAGCCACAAATCGGTATCCACAATACTAGGTTAGCCACGAAGCATGTGGCACATCGAGAATGAAATTGAGATCGCCCGATTGTGGCAACTTATTAAAATCCTCGTCTAAATCCACAACACAATCGAAACTCGACGTCATCGAACCAAGAACGCCAGTTCGATCTCCAACACCTATAGTCTCAATCTGACACATCTCATCATGTCGACTATTAGCCTTGCTACGACGCTAACTCTTAGTTCCTGGTCAAGATCCATTAGCGATCGGTCTCGACCTCGGGCATCTCCGCTCGGCGCTAAGAGCAACGCCACGAGAAAATCAAGACTGATGAGTTCTGCAGACCGGTAGTTGGTACGATTCTCAAGATTGTTCTTAATGTTCTACATGCAAACATGACTGTGTCCGGCGTCGCGACGAGGCGCACCTCGAGTGTCAGCACTACGGAGTTGGCTAGACAGCGTGATCTTCATAAATATTATCAGCCATGGCTCGACTCCAAGAAGTTAAAGACTGTACCCGCGAATACGGGCCCGGATGAGACCCGAGAAGTACAGTGTTCTCACGATACTACTCTAACTGCGCTTGCTCAGCTGGCTGCGTTAAGGTTGAACGTCAAACGCGCCATGGTATCTTTAATAGACGCCAATACGCAAATCATTCTCGCCGAAGCCACACAGACTTTGTCGCTTGTTGATGAAAGACGGCACGCTCCTGGGGATCACATATGGCTCGGTCATGTGTCTCTTCCGCGTCAGGATTGTATGGACGAGCATGCCTTTGGAGCCATAACTACCTACAAGGATGCCCAAGGTGAAGACGTTGACGTTTCCGCCTTCATCGTGAATGATACTTTAGAGGATGATCGGTTCAAATACCGGTCGTACGTGACGTCTGGAGCTAGCGTCAGATTTTACGCAGGCGTACCCATAGTCACCAAGCAAGGGCACGCGATTGGCGTTTATGGTGTTTCCGATATTCGACCGCGGCCCCAGGGCCTTAGTCTTGACGAGGTGCTATTTATGGAAGATGTCGCTCAAATCGTGGCGGACCATCTTGAGAGGGTTAGTAAGTAGTCTCGAGCGTTACCATCTATTCGACGACATCTACCTCAGAAATATATGTTTCCATTACATGACCTTTCGCTTACCCAACTTCCAAGCACATTCGATATAAGATTTACTGACCAAGTCTGTAGTGGATACAATGGGCCGTGTTTCGGAGAGAGATTTCATGAGGGGTATCTCTTACTTCTTGGAAGATTTATCCGAGTATAAGTTCCAACTGAGCAATACTGATCGCTCCATACAGGCGCCGAGTACCAAACAGCAATCAGACGTGAGAGCAACTGACCCCCAAATGGATCCTCCACGAGGGCGGCCTACCAAGCCGGGATCCGTAAATTTGGCGCACACTTCTATTCCACCTACTAGGGATGACTCTGCATATAGCGAGGCGCTAATATGTCGAGGGCCTCAATTCTCTAGGGATAGCGATTCTCAAGGCAAAGAAGCTCCCGACTCGCCGAAGGATAGCATACGTAGGATTTTCACACAGGCTTCGCAGCTACTATGCGAGCAAGCCAGAGCTACGGGCTGCGTATTTACCGACGCTGCATCGGGCCTGTTCTTTGGTCAATCTGAGGGGGTAATATCGTCTCCAAGCGATACTGATCCAACCGTATCTTCGAATGTCAATTTTGAGTCGACAGAGGACGAGGAAATCGACGCCGACAAGGCAAGAGAGGATTCTTCGTCTCCAGGATATGGATCCACGTTATCTCAGGCTGCCTTTGGTGATCGACTAGATGAAATGGCCGATGTCCTCGGCAGTGATGGTGATGAGTTCCCGCAGGGGATAATCAAGCGCAAAAATCTCAAGAAATTCATTATGCGCTATCCGTTTGGCAAATGCTTCTACCTGAACAAGGGACGCATCGTATCCCATCATAGCATGACTCTCGACGAAGTAGTTGTCGGTGGAGGCTCCAATTACACAGCTTTGAATGCGTCAACACAAGATATAGAGGACCAACCCCATATGCTATTACCGCGAGAGCTCCTGAGCAGCATACCGAATGCGAAATGGCTGATATTCCTCCCCCTTTTCAATTACGCCCGAGGCCAATGGTTTGCGGCTGGTTTTATTTGGGGCGACGACTTCAAGATGGGTGACCCCGATGATGCATTGCCCTACTTTAAGACCTTTGGATCCTGTATGATGAGCGAGGTAGCGAGCATGGAGGTCCTGAACACAAATATTGCCAAGTCTACGTTCATTGCCTCCATCTCCCACGACTTGCGTTCCCCGCTACACGGAATGCTGGGAAGCTTAGAGTTCTTAGAAGATACTATGACTTCAGCCTACCAAATGAGTCTGATTGGCGCAATTGAAACATGTGGCAAGACACTGCTAGATACCATCGACCACCTCCTAGATTACGCAAAAATCAACAACTTGAACCGTGCGAGCGCGCGACTCAGCTCCTCGAAGGAAAGAAGAACGTGGAAAGGATCGCGTGATGTTGGGGAACCCCTATCGACAAATTTTGATCTTGCCCTTCTCCTGGAGGAAGTCGTCGAAGCGGTCTTCGCCGGCCAGACATTTCGCAAAATCAACCTCCGACATCACGACCCCGTCGACGAGGTGTCTGCAGAAATAAAGTCGATAAGCATCGATGACTCATCGACAACCGAAGAACAGATTCACTCGGGCAGCGTAAAATTCTCAGGAAAGGTCTTTCTGATACTTCACATCCAACGCTTGGCATCTTGGTATCTGCAGGGACAAACAGGTGGCCTTAGGAGAGTGATCATGAATGTGGTCGGAAATGCTATCAAATACTGCAGAACCGGTAGCATCGACGTCTCATTAGAGGCAAAGGAAATCACACCGTCTAGTTATGAGGTAGATCTCTCTGTAAAGGATACCGGCATTGGTATGTCGAAGAACTTCCTTGAAAACCACATTTTCAAACCCTTTTCACAAGAAGACTCATTCACGCCGGGTACCGGACTTGGGCTCTCCATCACCTCACAAATCGTGAGAAATATGGATGGCAAGATCAAAATTGACAGCGAGAAGGGAGTTGGGACACACGTTAATATCACTATTCCTATGAAGACTGCCGACGCCAGCGGATCTCGCGGTGGTGTCCAAGATGATATCCAGCGCGAAGTTATGAAGGCTACGGCAGGGAAAAAGGTGTGCATTTTGGACCCCCTGCTTGGTACCCATATCGATGGAGAACTGCCCAAGCTGGAACTTTCCATCTCCACTTTCTGTCATGAATGGTTCAATATGGATGTTATCGAAAGCAAGACTGTCGATACCGACCCGGACACAGCGATTTACATATATGCCGAGCCGCCACCGATAGAACATCTGGTAAGACAACACATCGAGCGAAAGGAGATGGGCGAGACTGGTAAAGAAGCAGCTTTACTTATCGTCTGCACGAATGCTTTCGAGGCCGCGGCCCTACGGGCTGCCGGCGTCAAGGATTTAATTTCCCTCGGCAGAATAGTTGAAGTTATTAGCCAACCCGTAGGGGTGCGCAAGCTAGGAAAAGTCCTCTTCCAGTGTCTTCAACGCGTCGAAGAAAGCTCAAAGCACCAGGATCAACTTGCACGGTCTAGGGCACCCTCGCCATCCCTAGAGAGCAGTCGAAATCAGGTGTATAGTTTAGAGACTGGGTGGAATGCTTCAGCGGTCGTATACGACCAGACAGAAGGTCGATATAGGCCTTCGATCGAAGCTCTAAAATGGAAATCCGATCAACAACAGTCAAAACTACCATTGGAGCAGAGCATTCAGGCAGGATTGCTACATCCCAGCACGATCAATAATCAACCCGGTCCCGCGAGTATTCCGCACGGCCGCTCTCGGTCTGGGAATCACGTTAGACGACTGCCTCGCGTCCTTCTAGTAGACGACAACGCGATCAACCTCAAGCTCCTAGTGACGTTCATGAAGAAGATCAAGTTGCCGTACGCTGAAGCCGTGAACGGGCTCGAAGCCGTTACTCAATTCAAGGAAACTAAGGAACCCTTTGACTTCGTGCTGATGGACTTGCAGATGCCTGTCATGGATGGACTCGAAGCAACACGGCAGATCCGCGAGTTTGAACAGGAAAGAGCAGGGGAACCTACTGCTGCGCCACCGTCTACTATAATTGCCATCACGGGTGTCGGCAACGAGGCTACGCGCCAAGAGGCCATGGATGCGGGCATGTCGCAGTTTTTGACTAAACCTGTTAAGTTTAAGGCTTTACAGCAGATTTTGTTAGAACAGGACCAGCCGTCTTGAGACGGGGGATATATACGATGGAGTTGAATTTTATCCCGATTGGACGGGATAGAAGAGGTCACAATACTCATTTGTTGGCTTCAGCCCGATTATTCGCCCGCATACGCCTATGGCGGATAGGACCGATCGAGCGACCTATTGTTGCCGCGGGTCTTTCTAGGGACGTAGGCGCTGCTGAGCAGTGTGTGGACAGGATATTTTGGAGTATCATTCACGGTTAACCGCGAAAGGCTTCAAGCGCATATATGATTTAGGAATGCTTGTAATGTTCTGCAAATACCTGCTTTTCAACCTCGTCATCTTATGTTTTCACCGAGCTGGGCGGTGCGACATATGGTCTCCGAGATGCAGGCCTGGCTATATAGGGTACACAGAGAGGCTTTTGGGGGTGCATTAGGGGCGGTTAATAGAGTGGTTTACTGTGTTGTTTTATAGGTTCTAATATCCCTTTATGGTAGCAAGCGGCGGCTTTGAGGGTGTTATACCCGTAGGTAGATTTAGAACTAGGTGCCCTTCGATTTTTAATACAGCCAATACGTACACGGCGTATCAATTAACCAAGCAAAATTTCCCCAATACTGAATAAGTACCTAACCTAACCTACATGTAGTCAAGGTTGACTTAGTTCTCTCTTATGGTTCTTTGTTCTTTGTTCTTTGTTATGGTTAACTAAATAAATGCGATTGTAACAATCTAATAATAGCTTGATTGCTTTATTGCATTAAGTAAAGTTGTCACTTGAACGGCGAATCAATGCTTACTTAAATATATCATGTGAAAGTCACGTGGTTAAACAGGGATATCGTTTAGATTTTACCCTCTGACTCGCCGTACCACCTAACTTAGATTTTTAATCCTTCCAGGCTTGTAAAATGAAGCAAACAAAGCCCGAATGGCTTCGAATCTAAATGTAGCTCTCCCGCGATGCTACTTGGATACTTATACACAAGAAGGATATACGATGACCAATGAAGTCAACGGAGCCAAGCCTCAAAGGACGGGTTCCTGCTTTAGGCGGCCGCAGGTAATTCTGCAAAGCTCAAGCGATTGGCTCAGAAGTCTTGTAGACGCCAACCATCAATTGGCCGCTACCAATGATACGCAAGCGCGCGTCACCATCGTCAATTAACGAAACACCAAACGAAGAAACTAGAAGTACCCCCCGGCAGCGCTTAGCCAACCCTTCTTAAACCCCAATCTACATGCGATACGAAAATCAACTAGTAGTTCTGCCATGTCAAGGGCTGGTCCAATACTATTCTATTGGACGATTTACCCCGATTCGTCTGGTCCTCTCGGTAGGCCTCAATTTTATGTTACGAGCAGTTCGACATCTCATCTTGGCCGAAACTTTGGCGAAACCCGGTCTCTTAACATCATAGTCGTGGGCCCAACAGTAGGATTTCTACCGTAGGAATGGTCAAATGTGCATGATCAGTCCGTCTGGTGTTTAGTACAAGATGAGAGCTCCCCCCCTTCCTGCGGGCGAAGATCGTCAATGCTTATAATCGTCCTTTCTAGATCCCGCTGGTCGTCCTCGTAAATTTGCGGCTCTTTATTCTCCGCTAACTACCTTTTCTTTGGCGTCTTTTCATATACTAGTTATACCTAACTAACTATTGTTTTATCTACCGTTGTGCCGTATTGCCAGCCCCTTGTTCGGTTTTGAATGATACTTGGCATTCCTTTCAGATCCTTGGGCTCTTTATCACATACACCAAATAATATGAACCGCCGCTCCTCCATGCCTTCGGCGTCATAACCTATCTTTCGCCTTTTCGCTTCATTTTATCCTTTTTCCTTTTAGATAGACTCTCATTTCACTTCAATCCAGAAAAGAAAAAATCATACTCAAAATGCTCATTTTAGTTTTATTCTCACACCTCCTCTTATTCTCCGAGGCCTCGGCGGCAGGTCCGCTGAGGCGAGGAGAGAGGTACGTTTTCGAAGAAACAAGACGGCAATATGATGATAGCCAACTAATAAGCTTTAGATTGGGACAGCGTGATGCGCTGGGGGCCTCGAGGGTTTATAAGTTCGCAAATACTAGTAGCATCGCCACCACGACGACCACTCCCTTATCAACTGAAACCTCTTCGACGTTGATCACGAGCGAAGCGTCAACGTTATCTTCATCTTCATCTCAATCATTACCATTTGCAACATCAGCGCCCGGCTTAACTTCATCGTCGGTTGTAGTTACTTCAAGTGCGAGTCCCATCTCAGGCCCGGTTGGGTCTAGCTCTTCCACTTCGATATCTCGATCGTTCACGTTAAACGAGACTAGTAGCATCCCAACCTTTGACTTCTTCCCATCTTCTACAGTCCCTGTTAGCCCTCCTGCTTCTACCGCAGACTTGGCTGTTTCGAGCTCGACTGCGGTTGCTGCTCCATCGAACTCGACAGGAAGCTCATCTCAGGAAACTACCGCGCTATCTCTATCTACGGCATTGACTCTTCCCCTCGCGCCGACGCCTTCAGTAGTATCTCTTACCGAGTCTCGATCCACAGCGACCGAGCAGACTCAAACTACGCAACTGACGCAAAGTAGTTCCACGGCTTCGGAGTCTACCACGTCCATAAATTCTAACACAAATGCCGCAAGTTCTTCCACACTAGCAAGCAGTAGTAGTCTGGAAAGTTCATCTACATCAGCTACTGCCACATCCTCCCAACTAACAACTGCTTCATACTCATCAGTTGTTAAGTCATCTTATGTGTCTCATCCAGTAACGCCGACGGGGACGTTAAATGACCAGGTTCCCACCATCATTAGTTCAATTCCAGCTTCGTCAACGACAGTTTCCCCCGAAGTACTTGCCAGAAATCTGGCTGACGCAAAGAGTTACAATAAGGTCTTTGCTGGCTTGACTGAGCAATCTGCTTGTGCTATTGGTCAAGTTGCCTGTGTTAATGGCAATATTGGGAAATGTTCTAGTGCCGGCGCATTCGAGATTACCCCCTGCGCCGACACTTTGACCTGCTATGCCTTGCCGATGACTACAGTTGAGGGCGTCCAGATTGGTTGCTGGGATGACGCTACCGTTCGTAAAGCTTTGGGTGGCGACGTACCCCCCGTTGGAAGCTCAACTTCTGCCGGCTCATCTATAGAAACCGGTACGTTAGATGGGACTTTGGTCACTGTGACAGTCACACCGACAGCCACCAAGACGGCTCAGACCACCATAAACCTCGGCTCATCTACACAAACCCCTTCAGCAACAAGCTCTTCGAAAACAAGTTCTTCAAAAACAAGCTCTTCGGTTCCTGCTCAACCTTCAGAGAAAACAGTAACAATTACCCATTATGTGCCGACCACTTTTAGCACTGCAACCCGGTCCTCAAGCTCGCCATTGCCTCCTAAAACAGTTACAGAAACCGTAACCGTAACGCCATCCAGCCCAGAAGTCCCAACATCTTCACCACTTGAAACACCTCTACCGTCTACGAGTACAACGACGGTAGCGAAGACTACCCCTACCGACTCCGGCCTCCACGTCATCCCAATCGAGACGGATATTATCGACTTTCCTGGTCTTGGGGGCATCGGAGGAAATAGCGGGGATGACCCAAATGGCGCTCCCTTCTTCACGAAGCCTAATAACTTCGGTGTCACATCCATGACTATACCCACTCCCACCCCTGCTACTGTCACTATAACAGAGAAAGAGACGGTGACAACGATCACAACGGTAACAGATACGGTTATCACTACCGTGAGAGGCTAGATGAAAGATTGATAGTAAATAGGTATCGGATATATATGTTGCATTTACAAATTCATTGAGCGGGGAGTTTAGGACATGTTGATAATTTGATATTATTATATGGCATATGGCCAATGCCGGAAAAGTCAATACCCTTCTTACCAATAGAAAATTTAACCTTATAAGATTTTAATTATATACTATTTCGATTCTTACCTTACAAGTCACAATCTTGACGATATTTCTGTCCTTTTAGGCGATATTTATATATCCTGTAGTTGGGGAAACTTGGCCGTGTAAAAAATACTTCCTATGCCCGACGTATACTACATGATAAACGAAGCTGTGCTGATTGGCCTCATGCGAAGAAGCGGGGTTGGTAGGCGTATATAGGAGGATGAATGGTGCAATGATACTCGATACCAAACACATACTCATCTAGGAAAGGATCTCGATTTATCCCGAGACTTATTTCAACTACCTCCCATCAGTCCCGCTGTCCACCTCGAGCCTCCCTACCCATTAATCCCAACGGTCTACAAGTGGGTTGGAACTTACTGTCGAAACTTACTGTCGAGTCGCCAGCCATGGTATCTCGCCCACTTATCAGGGCGTCATCTAGGTATGCCGAGCCTGACCCATCAGCAAAATACAGCGCGGATGAAGAAAAGCGACTGGCGGATAAGTTCGCCGCGCACAGACATCTAGTCCCGCTGGTTTCTCAAAACGACGATGTCATATTTCTCAACGCGGCCTCTGCGCCGCCGTCGAACTTGATCGTCCACGAGGCCATCACGCGATACTCAGCACAAGCCTTATACGAGGCTTACCCGTATACCAGCTGGCGCGAGACGCGCGAAGAAGCACGCAGCCTGGTCGCTCGGTGCATCAACGCCGAAGACCCATCCACCATCGCCTTCACGCGCGACACCACCGAGGCCCTCGGCAGCTTCATCCGCTGCGTGAGCTTCCAGCCCGGCGACAACGTCGTCACCGTCGATTCCGAGCACCCGAACCAGACGCTGTGCTGGCTCGCCCTGCGCGAGTTCGGGCTCGAGGTCCGACAAGTCCCCACTATTGCCGAGGCGGAGCGCACGGGCCGGATCGACATCGTCGGTGCGGAGACTTTGCGGCCGCATGTGGATTCCCGGACCCGCGCTATCGGGATCAGCTCGATTACGTTCGATGGCGGACAGCACAACGACGTCAAGAGCATCTGCGCGGCGTACAGGCCCCGCGGGATCCACGTGCTCGCGGACGTCACGCAGAACGTGGGGTTTGCGCGCATCGACGTCCGCGACCTGGGGGTGTCGGCGGCGGCGTTTAGCCTGCACAAGGGGCTTAATGCGCCGACGGGGATCGGCGCTTTGTACGTCTCGCCCGAGTCTTTCCGCGAGCTGGGCGAGCCGACGCCGCCGATCGTTAGTATGGAGGCTGTGAAGAATCTCAACGAGAGCCTGGTCGTTAGGGTGGATGAGCCGTTGGAGTTGCATCCGAATGCGCGCCGGTTCGAACACGCTAATATGAGCCTTGTGGCCGTGGCGGCGGCGGCGGCGTTTACGCGGTTTTATCTCGATGTTTTAGGGCCGGCGGACGTCGAGGCGCATTTGTTTGGGCTGACGGATGTGCTGGCGAGGGAGTGTGATCGGTTGGGTATACGCGTGGTGAGTCCGAGGGAAAGGGGGAGACGGGCACCGCATATTACTATTTTGGCGCTGCCGAAGGAGTGGGGGGCGTATTTTGGGGGTCAGGGGGGTGCGCGCGTTACGATGAATAGGTTGGGCGTGAGGGTGTCGTTTGGGTTTTATAGCTCGGTGGAGGATGTGAGGAAGTTTGTGAGGGTATTGGAGTTGGGAATAGCTCGGGGTTTACGAGTATGATGGTTTAGAAGGTAAGTAGTTTTATTCTTCCAGAGGCGTTCCCTCCAACCGTAAAATAGAGGAAGACAGAGGACAGTGGATCATAGAACTTTTCAAAAATAAATCTATTGAGGCAACATTGAGACAAAACATCTGAGAACCTAGAATGCTGTTCCTTAGCATCGGAAACGCATCTACCAATCGTAATTCTCGTAAAATCCCGGTACTCCTATAAAATTAGTACGTTTCCAGTCATCGAGATTAGCATAATACGATGTGCATACTTCCTCCCTTGTAGCACAAAATGGATTTTCCGCATCGAAGAGCCCACAATGCGAATACCCCTTCAACTTACTCTCTCCAGTCACGCCATCTGGGTTGTTAGCAAACTCACGGAGAAGTCCTTCATCATTATCCTCCAATCCTTTTCGTAGTTTCTCCATATCAAAGTTAGGAGATAGCCACCCGTCGTCTTCGCCGAGACGGCGATAGGTCACCAGTTCTGCTTGTATAGCTGCCCATATATGGCCCAACCGTCGATCCCCACAATGCACTAATTCGTAGTTCACATAGGGCTTAATTTCATGAACTCCATGTTGACAGTGGCTGGAATCGTCAGACTTGAAGGCCATACCATCGGATGAGTCGTTATCTGAAATATGATCCACCCCTGTATCGCTCATACTAGGTAGTGTACTTCGATGCTGATCCTTAGTGAAGTATAGCCGCAGTATAGAAAGCAAAATTTCCCACCCACGTTTAACGTCATGGGTCCACGAACTCGACCGTTCGCAATAGATTTGTGATGCTAGTTCTGCGGGGGTTATGCGTGAATGTTGACACTCATCTTCCGATCCATATCCAAGTAGCTGAGTAATTGATACTTCTCCGGTAATACTGGGGTCGGCATCATGAGTCAACAAACAGACAAGACAAGATATCATGCCAAAAAGATTCTCTCCAGGCATCCCATGATTTGCCAAGAATAATGCTGTCAACACCAGAGCATGAAGTGGTCCAACCTTTAACTCTAGCCCACAACAACTGCATCGCGTTGTAAATATTCCACTCGGCGTATCGATATTGGGACGCCAGGGGGCGGTGAACATAGAAGAAATGCAATGGCATATAGCCTGTACTGATGTGTGACAGAACATATGCTTCCACTCATGTGGGATCGTTGAGCTTCCGTGGGCGTAAAGCCGGCGGACGCAAGATGAATCCACATCCCATCTACCACAAGGGTCGACCTCCTGTCCAGCATACCGAGATTGGCCGGCAGATACATCACCCAGAAGATCAAGCGGGGCTTTGCTGTGTGATCTTATGATGGTCGTAAAGAGTATGTCCAGTACAGTATATCCGTTATCATCAGTGTATTTGGCACCAATAGAACCTGATTCGTCAACACGTCCTACCAGTGTATCCATTATCATGCAGCAAGCCTTATAACCATCCAAAAATCTCGCTGCGAGGTGAAATGGAAATATCGTTGAAAACCAGACTGGAAGTGAATCCTTATAATCATCAATGATGTCTACGATAACATCAATGTTACGTGACATGATAGCAAAACCGAATGCCTCTGCCTTCAATTCATCCGTCGACTTCTCTGCGGCCTTCACAACTGAATGTGTAGCGAATGGGAGTTCACTGGTTTCAACTGAACTAAATTGGTTCTCTTGAAGTCCCTGAGCTAGTGTGCTTGTGAGATCTCGATTGGAGCCATTGGTTGGCCACTTAGTCCACGTAGACTCGTCATCAATATCAAATTGATCTTCGGACCTATGGATTTCTGCTGGCGGAGAAGGGAGAGATTCATAGGCTGGTGGTTTGTAGTGTATGCTCCATCGACAGAGCTGTGTCGGGCTGTCGGGAATCGAATGAGATCTAGATGATAGTCCGGCTTCTTGATCAAGGGAGGGATACACAGGGGATGGAGGAACCACCCCAGCAAACGACTTGAAGTTAATAAGCCGCTGATCCCACGTCTCTGGTCCCCTACCCCAGTACTTGACAGTCATGAAGGAATATATCCAAAAGTCATGAAGCCATATTGCTAAGGGTCTAAATCAAATGGGTTAGTCAGGAACTTGAAAGTTAAATCGTTTGAAAAGGGCTACTCACTTTCGTTCATCTGCTGTTAGCTGTGTGATTAGGTCTCGATCTCGGCCCTCTAAAAAGAGGCGGGCTCGATTAAATAGTATACTCTGTTGGACTTGCTGCATAGTTGGAGACAAAGCATTTTTAGGACTGGAAGGGGATGCTGCTTCTGGTGGACTATTTATAGTAAAATCCAGAGAATGGGGAGTTGACGTGGCCGGAGAATAGGCGTCATGTCCGCCAAGGCTGTGAATTAATGCGGCGTACGGAAGGTTGTGCCGAAAGAATCTGATGATGGATTTAGTCTTTGAATTGCATGAAGACTTCGTACTTAGCTTACATTCCGGGATTCAAGGTCAACGGCTCGCTTTGGCGAATATCCTGGTTAATATACCGCTTGAGCTGCTTTTTGTCCACACTCTTTGCAAAGTCACCTTGACCTTGATTGATGGTTACGTTGGAGCTGCTAACTCCATCTTTCCGGATACGTTTTCCTAGAGCGCTGATAATGACGTTCTTCTCTTTAGTCGTTATCCTTTTCTTAATCTTCCATTTTCTAAAGTGAGATTGATATTGGCCGGCTCTGGTCATTGAGCAATTTGTTATTAAACAGAGCAAACAAGCATGGATATATAATACTGACTGGGCATTAAAGCCATACTCATCCTTCATCCGCTGCGAGAGGCGCTTCATCGTGCTATTCTCCTCCAAGTACATACGAATGATGACAGGTCTAAGATACTCCCATCTCTGGTCATATGGGATATGCAAGAATTTCTCAACTGGGCTATTGCCCGTTGAAGAGTTAGACAGTTCCATTATTACCTCACTCTGGTCTCTTGTCAAGGTAGTGAGCTTTAGTTGAACTTTGAAAAAGTGAAGAAATGGAAGATTAGAATTTAGATTTCTTTTAGGTCCTTTAAGGCGTTACCGTCCCCTTTATATTACAACCCGTCTCGCCTCCCAGCCAGGTCAGGCAACTAATAGGATGAAGGCCTTATGCATATAAGATCGGAGTAAGCAGCTTGGTCGGGCGTAAGCAAAAGAACCAATAGCTGATGCCATTTAATTTAAATCGTTGCGCTGGCCCGCAAGAAATGGCATACATCCAATGGTGGGAACAGGCAATATCCAATGGGCACATGGCGCGTGCGCATTCCTTGTTTGAGCGACGCTTACCGTAATAACGGTAGCTTAGCAGCCTGCATGTAGGTAGGTACCTACGTAGTATCTCGGCCCTCCTGGTGTTACACAACATCATGTATGGACGATTTCCGCTACCCAAATAATATTCATAAAAAGCGAAATTATCTGTCCAACAAAAGTGCTGTAGCCACTCATACAAAGCAATTGTAATATATGCAATTATCGTATACACGTACCTAGATAGAGCGTACATACGTATTTGAGTAGTTTGGGTGATTATGAATTGTAGATGAGAAGTGCCTGGGGAGATTTACATGGTAATGCCTTGAGCTATGGGATAAATAAATACCTGGGTGTTTCCCATCATTCTCTCCTTCTCTTTTCTTCTACATTCTAGTTTCCAGATCCAACTCCAGTATTCGGCTTATATCTCTATCTTGGGACTTAGATATTTTCTCTAGGCCTTCATATATATGCCCGTCCATTTTTCCACAATTAAATACCATACAGTCACCAAGACTTACCTGCTATCTACCCGTTCTTACCACATCTACTGCAACCAAACTTTTATATCCACTCGATTTTAATTACCACACACACACACACACATATACACACACACATACACACACACACACATATATATATATATATATCTCATCATTCAACAACTTACAATGTCTCACCCTTCGTCCTCCGGTAGCCAGGAGACTACTTCGTAAGCTTATTACTTGTTCAGATGAACATGGCTTCCCCTTGGTATGAACCAATTTTGACATGTCTATAACCTTACACATAGATACGACGAGCCTGCAATGACGAACGACAGTACAAGGACAGACAGGGGCTCGCCCGTGCCTGACTTACCTGACGTTTCAGAGTCTAACGACTCACCCTCAGACACTCAGAGTGACTCAACCAACCTTGACCAAGATCTACTGGGATTCGGGGCCCAGTTCGATGATAAGAAATAAGACTGTTGAGGTATGGAATATGAGGAGACATTAGTCCCATATGTATTACCACATGACGATCCACATGTTGGCCCTTTCCCGACTTCACAGCACCCTAGTATGACTTGGGTAATATTATGGCTAGCATTTAAGTACGCAACACGGACTCTTACGTGGAGACATAGAATACATTCCTGTTGAATACTACTATGGTGTCGTGCTACACATTCATTAAGGCACAGGTTTACCTAACCCTCATGTTCTTGTCTGTTTCATAGTGGTCCTTATCTGGGACCCTGTCTTAGTATCATATGGCCTTTACCTAGTCAGTTGATAGTCGTTTGTATGGCAATACAGACTTCCACTTCTTGGTTTTAACACAATAGCTTTTCATACAATACTATACCAGACTTCAAGACCCAAGAAATAGTTCATATATGGGTGATGCATTCCATAATATAATTTCAACTATACCTGCCCGTGAAACTATCATAGGAACCAAGCTGAAGGGTGATCCCAGGTTATATAATCACCACGCTTTTACCAAAGAATGTACATAGGATAGTCAATAGCAGGGTGATATTCCGCCTTCTGGGTTTGGGTCTTCCCGATGAGCGCCATGCAGCATGCAGACATGCAGTGAAACAAACCTCTATCTACCCCTGTAGAGGTCGCTGGTGTCCTCTGTTGCGTACCTATATAGTCAAATTCGGTTAACAGTCGGATTCTCAAATTCCCATCTCACGCCATCCTAATCAAACTATCAAACTGATACTCGTTTATTTATCTTACCGATAATAGGCTATCCGCCCAGCCTAATGCGTATACACTAGACCGCTGTTAAGCGACGTTTGACGACTACAAATGGTAGGATCTCAAATTGGAGGTCTTCAAGTATCTGCCTCTTGCTTCGTTAAGTAACAGCATATGACAAAAGGCATAGGTTAGTAAGATGGAAGGGCTCATGTAAATAGGCAATTATTGACAAGCATCATCATAATCATTCAATACGGTAGTATCAGTAACTTGCCCGCTCATCTACGGCGCCTGAATCTACCCCCAAACCCAGACGGAGGCCCCTTGGCTCCATGATTCTTCAGCTTTAGCCTCTTAAAGTTCGCATGGGCTAGCTCGTTGACCTTCCTAGCAACCTTTTGGACCTTGCCATCCTTCTTTTCCGTCTTCTTTTTCTTCTCTGCATGCTTCGTCTCCTTGGGCTCTTGACCATCATCTTCTACGAGGTCGAATTCAGAGTCGGACCCTAAGTCTAGTGGTGGAGTATCGCCGCCCTTCATTATGTTTGCCTGCGTCTCAGGTACGACGTCACCTTCGTCATCGGTCTCCGGTTGTTCCTGCGCAGGCTGCTGTGGCCGTTTGCTCCTAGTTGGCCTCATATTGACTCGTCGCGTAGTCCTCTTTTGTCCCTTCTTCTTGTAAACCTTTAGGGGCTGTCCGCCACGGCCCACTTGCTCTTCGGGTGTACTGTCATAAAGATCCTCATCGTCAAATCCACCAAGGAGCTGCTGGGCCTGACTGTCCGGCTCGAGGATCTCCTCATTCTTCCTCACAGGCTTCGTAGTGGCCGACGGGTTAACATCATTCTCCGCCTCACGTAAGGCTTCGAGATCGTCATCCAGTGCTTCTTCCTCTAGCTTTCGTAGACTCGCCACTGCGCTGCTCAGACTACGGCCTAGAGGCTTGCGTGGTAGTCGTAGGGGTGCAGGAGCTATGTAATCGCCATTTTCGTCCACCGTTGCGAGGGGTGCTCTCCTAAGAAAAGATGGTGTAGTCAATTGCAACTTACGGATCGAACTAGGAGTTCGACCTAGAGGAGCATTGCTATCTCGCCGCGAAGGCGTCATGAAAAGTGTCGTGCGCTTGCTCGACACTGGAGTTTTATCCAGTTTGAGAGCGTCACCGATATTTTCACCACCAACATTTTTGCTGGGAGTGGCCTGGATTGCACCATCTTTCAATGATTCGCCAGTCCTACTTTTCGAAGGCGTGTTCTCGTCGTTCTCTTCCAACAAATCAAATAATCCCAGGATACGCCCATCCCTTTGGGGGGTAGGTCCAATTGAGGTAGGTACAGCAGGACTAAATAGTTTCCGCGAGGATGGTGTCTCAAACATCTCAGGATCTATAATTCGCTCCCGTATATGGGAAGGCGTCTCGGCTGGCTTTGACCGCTTTGAGGGCGTCACTGCGAGAACTTCTTCCGGCTCGCGTTTCCGAGAACTTGATGATTCCCTCGTCTTGGCTTTTGGGGGAGGGAGTTTGCCAGCTAAGATATCGCGGACTTGGTTGTATTTCTTGTATTTTCGAGCTAAAAAGGCACCAATTAGTATTGCCTCGTAAGTGAAAATCTACCACTGGGGCTAAAACTAACCTATTTCTGGATTTTTCTTAATATCCTCGCGCCCCGGCTTTGTGCCGGCATTATGGCTTGCCCAGTCGGCCTCGAAGTGCTTGAGGTCGGCGCGTAATTGCCTGCACGTCTCTTCGTATTGAAGCTTCTCACTTTCATCCATCTTAACTAAGAGATGAGTTGAGAAGTGCTATATGTAGACTTTGACGAGAATTGGTAATAATTGTTGCTAAATATTGGATTTGGTAATAAGGAATGTTTTTGATAGGGAAGGTTAATCCGCCAAAAACGCGACAAGCTTAAATGGAACGCGACGCGGGACCAATCTAGGGGGGCACTTTAAATGATCTACATTAGTACATGTACGTATCCGCCTTAGGGGGAAAATGTTACGTCAGCTAGAATGCTGCCATGCGGCCATAGTGAAACCGAGCCATTGTTTGTACTCTCGTACTTCCGTACCTGGTTAATCCCTGCCAATCGCCACTTCTTTGTAAATTGCCTCTAAACATCCAAGTCATTTTCAACTACTTACAACATTCCCTGCCTACTGCTCCTGCTCATCTATATGGACGCAAAGTTGGATGCGACTGATATACAATCTCAAGTACTCCGAAATACTCTTGCAGAGGTAGCGCTGTCAAGCAGACAATCCGAAGCCGATAATCCAAACGAGACATGCTGCGTCATCTGCCTCGATAGCATCACCGAGGTCTGTGAGGCCAGGCCTTGCAGTCATCGGAATTTCGATTATCTCTGCCTCCTTAGTTGGCTGGAGCAGCAGACAAGATGCCCTCTTTGCAAGAGCAATGTCGATGAGGTCTGGTACGATTTCGAAAGCGATAGCCCTGATGCGAAAAGCAGGGTATACCTAGTTCCGCCTCCGAAGGCCTCATCAAAACAGCCCCAACAATCGCATGCCCAAATCTTACATCCGCGAAATATGATTCCGAGACCAAACCGTCGACGATACGAAGAAGCGCCTCCGCGCCGGATAACTGCCAATGAAGCTATTCTCCGCCGGCAAGATGTCTATCATAATCAACTCTACTCCCTACACGTCGGGTCGAACCAAAGATCGGGCTATCGAGATTTAACTCCGCAAGTGTTCGAATCCGATCCCGAGATGATATCAAGGGCGCGAACGTGGCTCAGGAGGGAACTACAAGTCTTCGAATTCCTTCGAACTCCACCTACCGCACAATCCAGCGACGACGCGATCACGAGAAGACGTGCGAATAACGCCGAGTTTCTACTTGAGTACATAATTGCTATCCTAAAGACTGTAGATATTCAAGGGAGCCAGGGTCAAGCGGAAGAAATGTTGAAAGACTTCCTCGGTCGCGATAATACCAAGTTGCTCCTTCACGAACTCAAGAACTTTTTGCGCAGTCCCTGGTCTTTGGAGGCTTGGGATCGCAAGGTCCAGTACCCTACGGCAAGGAAGCGACGAGTCCAGGAAGAAGATGTTGAGAGGAGCGACCAAGTAAGCAACGTATCTCGAATATTTGAAGCGGACGAAGGCCTAGACAGGCGGAAGCGACGGATAGGTGATTCCTATCGTCCTTCATACTCAAGCCGTCGCCACAATAGGAGAGATAACACGAACTAATTTACACCATATTAGACCCCCTTGCCATTGTTAATATCAACATTTAATGCTTCGCGACCTTGTATTCGAGTCTGGAACCAATAAGCTCGGCTCCTGCAATAAATATGACAATGTGAGACTCGGATATAGCCGTGCTTGAGTTTCTGCAAGCACATTTCATAAAGTAGAACCTTCCACAAGCGTCCTGGGCCGGTCACTCAAGTCTTCTTAAGTGAGATAGCGCCGTCCGCTATACCTACCGACTTCCGAACTTCCTTGGGGTAGTATCTAGAGTAGTTGACGAGGTCTTCGCATAATCATGTCCAAGATAACAAACCATGCAAGACCCCTTCTCGAGCTTGTAAGTGAACTATAGCTCATCTATCGAACTTGACATTAGACTAATATCTCACGAAACAGATGAAGAACGCTACAGGAAGAGTGTCGGTCGATGAGAAGTTAACATTCATATGTGTATGCCCAAGGACACAGCTCGAAAGGGGGTTATCATAAGTCAATGATAGTAGCCTTACAACCCCATAATGATGTGATATATCCAACCATGTACCCAATTCCATGCAAGATGTCAGATGATATAGGTCTCGATCCATCCACTTGGTGTCGTCCCAGCGAGGGACCTGTCTTAGCATTCTCGTAAGTGGGAGGAAGTAACACTGAAATCCCGGGTCGTGCATTTGCCTCTATTCATATAAAAATACACAATAAGGAGGGAACACGCTGTTATATAATCCGAACTTGGCAGGTATAGGGTCCTATCCTTTACAGTCAGAACAGAGCAGCTGATACCCAGAAGGGCGTCAAGCGAAGTACAACTCCCAACTCCCCACCTTGTCTCAAAAAAACGGACAATTTTAATGTCCATAACTTGGGTAAAACGAGAGACGAAAAAGTGATAGCATTACAAATAACTATCAAGTTACAGAATGTAGGGAAAATCCAAGAAAAAAAAAGAAAGTAAACCCGCAATGATTTAAGCCGTGAGCCTTAAAGAAAAGAAAGGTTAAAAAAGGAATCCTAGGGCATGTAAATTATAGTGCTTAGACATTTAGACCAAGCTATGCTTCATGCAGGTATAGATCAAATGTCTTTTTCACAGCAAAACAAAAAAAAAAAAAAAAAAAAAAAAAAAAGGATATATATTCATATCACAGGTGACCCAGACCAATTATTCGAATCAAGGTTAGAATGCTATCCGAGATAATCAAATAAAGTACCTAGGTATGTCGCCCTTACGGATACGTACGGATGTCCCTTTCAAAAGTTTTTACCATAGGGAGACCCCTGTCACCCCCGGCAAGCTTTGACCATGCTTGGCAACAGCTGCCTACCTATTTCTCATACGTATCTTATTTTACTCTACTATTTCAATAAAGTATTAATTTCTTAAAATAAATTATAAAAATATATATAAAAGCTTTTTTATAAATATAAAAGTAAAGGCCTTATTTAAATAAATTTGCTTTCATTTTACTATTATCTGTTGTTGTAAAATTTAGTATTAAACCTAAGGGGTAATATTGTATACATTTTAACATTTTCCGACAGGTGTTAGCCAAGCATAAGACAGCTGCCAATAATGCTGACAGGGGTTCCCTATGGTAAAAATTTTTGAAAGGGACATCCGTACTAGTTGAATTAATTCCATTTCGGGATGTAACAGGGATAATGATTGGCCAGTTAATGCTACCACCTTTAAGGTTTGAACCTGATCCCCAGCTAGACCCACTAAAAGAGCCTCAAAGTCCAGTAACTTTAAACGTACAGTAAAAATCCATTAAACGTACAACATATCCACTTTTACGTGAGATAGCCCGATATACCACCACTTACTTAATTTATATTAAGATTAATATTGTTTTTTAATAAATTTATAATTTTACTTAATCGTATTATAATATTTATATTTAATTAAATATATTATTTAAATAAATAAAAATTAATATATTTATAATTAAATTTAATACGTATATATAAGTTATAAGTTTATATATTTAATTAAAGTAATAATACGGAGGTTAAAGTTATTGATTTAATTGGTTATATTAATTTAACCATTAATTTTATTACTTTATAAGTCGTTGAAAAGGGATAATAAGCGTTTATTACTGTTAAATTACAAGCTGCTAAGGCTATTAAAGCTATTGGGAAGGTTTTAAAGACCTGTCAGATTAGTCAGCCATGTCAGGTGACCTGAAAATCCCTAGTCTCATGTAAAATAACGGTGTAACACGCGTTCCCACGATTTTACCTCAATCAATCAGATCATCAGGAATATGATGAATTAAACCTTATATAACGCCTATTTAGTACGTATTAGTTGTGTGACAAGACCATTGTTGATAGCCTTGTAAGCCTTGTAACCCGTAAAGGCTAGATGCGATATTAGGCCTCGTTGGCGCTAGCGTTAGGGATGAGGGAATCGTATACTGTTATGTATACTGTTGTTAAAGCGATTGTATTAAGGCCGTTACTAAAGCTGTTATTTGCTAACTCATCGTATTTAATTGATTTTATTAATTTTAAATCAACGTGGTTAAATCAGTGATAACGGCCTTGTGTTAGTGATTTAAAGCTAAAAAAGTTAAATCGGTGATATTAATTTAAGGCTTTATTAAACTGGTGTGGTGCCACATTGCCAAGAGTAAGGGTATTATTATGTAATCTTAGGTTACAGGCCATATAAAGGTCTAATATTTGTTGTATTCTTCTAATCAAATAGTTACGATTATTACTATTTAATTATGCATTTAATATAGATATATTTGTTATTTTCTTATATTTATAGTTTATGGCTTTATTTTGTGTATTTATTATATATATTTTATTTGATTAGTAGATCTTTATAGTTTTTCTAAAGTATAGTGTTATTATTAGCTGTTTAAGGCTTTTTATAAGGATTTAGATGTTGAAGTGATATGTTATATTCTGTAGGAGATACTAACTCCTGTTCATTATCCGTTAAAATGAGGTTTTAATTAACAATATAATTATAATAAACCTTAAAAAAGTTATTGGCTTTTATTAAATAGGTAATATCGTTTTAAATTATTTAATTATTAATTTAAAAAGTAATAATAACTTTAATTTAAACAATATATTTAATTAAATATAAATATTATAATACGATTAAATAAAATTATAAATTTATTAAAAAATAATATTAATTTTAATATAAATTAAGTGGGTGGTAGTGTTATATAATTAATACGTATTAAATAAACGTTATATAAGGTTTAATTTATTATATTATTAATAATTTAATTAATTAAAATAAAATCGTGGGAACGTGTGTTACACCGTTATTTTATATAAGATTAAAGATTTTTAAGTTATTTAACATAGCTGATTAATTTAACACATCCCTTTAAATACAACCGATAAGTTAATTTAATTTAAAATATCTTGATATTCTTTTATTATTTAAGTTATTAACAATTTAATTTTAATCTAAAAAAAATCCCTAATTGTTTTTAATTGCTGTTAACACGTATTTTTTACTTTATAACTATTTTACTATTTAATTTTCGTAGTTACTTTATTTATAAATATTTTTTAATATTTATTAAAATTAATTAAGTTTTAAATTATTTATATAAATCTTTTGTAAAGACTTTAATAAGTTTATTTGCGATTATATTTTTTAAAATAACGTAATTTACTTTAATATAGCTTTATTAAGCTTTTTAACGCAGTTAATAATTATATATATTTATATATTTTAACTTAATTTTTAGTTTTTTAATATTTTTATTAATTAACTTAATTATTTATTTATTATTACAATTAATTTTAATAATAAATTAATTTAAATTAATTTTATAATAAATATAACTTTTTTTATTATTTATAATAAAATTAACAATTTAACTTTTATAATAAATATAATTATTATATTTTACTTATTAGCTTTTTAACCTATTATACCTTTAAATAATTTTATTATATATGTTTAAAAACTTTTTTTAATTATAAATATTATTAATAAATAAAACATTACTTGCAACTTTAAAGATATTACCCTTTTTTAATTATAATATATATCTTTGTATATATTTAAAATATAAAATTATTTAATTTAATATATTATAATGTTTTAAACCAAAGTTATAATTAAATTATAAAAACTATAAAATTACAAAAACTATATTTAAGCGTGTAATTACCGTAATATATAAGATAAATCTTATACATTATTAATAACGATAAATACTTTTAAATAAAGCTATTTCTTTATAAAGAAATAACTCCTTTTTAATTATTAAAATACTTAAGATTTGATTTAAAAATTTTATAAAATTAACTATTTTATTAATATATATAAATTAATTTAACCAAATAAATTACCTTTTTTAATCCCTTATTATTTTAATACTTAAAAATTATTATAAATCATTACTCCTAATAAATTAATAACATTATTTAAGGCCTTTAATAAAATATATTATTTTTTTTTTAACTTTAAGGTATACTATAACAATATTATTAATATAAACAAATAATAAAATCCTTTCTTTAATAAATATATAAGATTTTTTAAGAATAAGTTTAAAACTTAAGGTTTTTAAAATTTTAATTAATTTTTTTTACTATAATAAAAAAGATTTTCATAATCCATATAACATTTTAAATAATTTAAAAATATTACCTTTTCTTTAATAACTTAATAATATTTTTATAAATATATCTTTTTTAAATTTTATATTTATAAACACGTTTATAACGTTATATTAAATTAATTTAAAATTAAATTTTATAACTATTATTATTAAGATCTTAAAAAACTTTTTAATTAACGTTAAAGCATATATTTCTTTAATTTTTAAAACTTATTAATTCTTTTAAACTATTAATTTTACCTTAACCTTTTATAAATAACTATACTTATTAATTTTATATATATTGAACAAGACTTAGACGTCTTGGCCTTGGATCAAGCCCTATTAGACCTGATATCAAGGACTTTTAGATGATGAAACTGATGAAGAAGGAAAGGAATGACTTGTATTAAAAGTGGATGATACTATGTAAAATGGGTGTGTGCGACCATAAATGGTACTTATACTAAGAATATGATCACATGATCAGGGTCAAGGTCACCTGATACACCAGCACCAGTTCAATATATATTTATATA